CATCCAATAAAAGACTAGGAAAAAAAAAAAAAAAACCTCCACATTGGGAACACTTCCAGAATGATGGACTGAGGAGATTGACAAATCATCTATCCAAAAAGTCACATTAAAATAATACAAAATTATCAAAACAATCATTTCAAGATTTTGGGGGGGAAATTAACCAGAGGTACACAACAAATTGAAAAGCATTATTTAAAAGAACAACAACAACCGAACCTCTGTTAAGAAAAGTAGGGATCTGGGGCATCAGAGGCTTTTCTCATTCCCTATTCCCTACCCCCAACTCCAACATGATGATTCTATCAGGACAGGACAAGCCATGAAAACCAGCAGCTCTGCTGCTTGGAGGGTGATGGCTTAATTTGGTGTCCAGAGTATTGTTGGAAACAAATGATCTTAGAAAATAAGTGGTAAATGATCACCAAAAATTAATATTACAGCTGGCTGAGACTGCAGCACTGGTTGGGGCAAGCAATAGAGCAGCCAGAAATTTAAGTGAGACCCAGGGAACAGTCGTAGTAGACCTTGATAAGCTCTCACATATCCGTGGTGGTCTGGAAGGTGTGCCCATGTCCAAGGTTATGCACTGGCTGAATGTGAGGCCTTGCATATACAGAAAATAAAAGTCACAGCAGACTTGACTGAACTTTACATGTGTTGCTCAAGTCATACACAGATACTCAGCAAAGGGTAAAGCCAAACTAGGCTCAAGATATTTAAGTACAACCTGTTACCAATCATTAGCTGACCACTAAACTATGCTGACAATCCCTAGGAAGTCAGGCTTAAAAATAAAAACAAGAATTAAAAGAAAAAAAAAAACTGAGGAGACACATCAGTGGCCACACATTGCAGGGGAAACAGACTCTACATACTTAGTCCAGGCAAGTTACCAAACAGCCAACAAACAACAGTAGCAGCAACAACCCCTGGTGAGGGGGAAGATCAGAATCGAGAGTTGCTATATTATCTAAAACAGAGGTCAGAAAACTATAGTCCACAGCCCAATTATGGCCCATTGCCTGTTTTTTTTACATAAAGGTTTTTTTGGAAGACATCTATGCTCATTCATTTACATATTGCCTATGTCTGCTTTCCCACTACAACAGCAGAGTTAGTTAGTTACAACAGAGACCACATAGCTTGCAAAGCCTAAAATATTTACTGTATGGTCCTTTATAGAAAACATTTGTTGGTCCCTGATCTAAGATGTTCAGTTTTCAACAAAAAATTATGAGACATACAAATAAATAGGAAAAGGAGGCCTATATACAGAAAGAGGACACACTTAATAGAAACTGGCTCTGAGGGGGCCTAAATGTTAGACTTAACAAAGATTTCAAGGCAGCTGTTATAAATATGTTCAAAGAACTGAAAAAATAGACAAGTTTTTTAATTAAAGTATGACAACAACTCAATAGAGAATATCAATCAAAAGATAGAGATTATAAAACAAAACAAATGCCAGAGTTGAAAAGATATGAAATGAAAATTCACCAAGGGATTCAACAGCAGATTTGAGATTGCAGAAAAAAAGAATTAGTGACCTTGAAGATATATCAATAGAGATTATCCAATCTAAAGAAAAGAAAGGAAAAACGATGAAGAAAAATAAACACATACTAACATATGTGTAAGGGGAGCCCCAGAAGGAGGAGAGAGAGAGAGAAGGGCAGGAAAAAAAGGCCCAAAACTTCCCAAATATGAGGAAAAACAATCTACCCATTCAAGAAGTGTAATGAACTCCAAGTGCAATGAACACAAGAATCCACAAAAAACCTACTAGTACCAGCAAATGAATTCAGCAAGGTCACAGGACACAATATCAATATGTAAAAATCAACTATATTTCTATATACTAGTACATAATCTGCAAATAAAATCAGGAAAACAATTCTATTCCCAATGACATAAAAAAATAAGTATTTAATACATTTGTTAAAAAAAGTGCAAGAGTACAGTAATAGCTATACAACATTGCTGAGAAAAACCTAAAAAAAAAAACCTGAAATACACAGATGTTCCGTTTTCATGAATTCAAAAACCTAATGTTAAGATTACAATTCTTCCTAAATTGATGTATAGCTTCAGTACAATCTCTATCAAAATCCTAATAATTATGCATAAGCTGATAAGCTGAATTTAAATTTTATGGAAATACAAATGACCTAGAATACCAAAACAATTTTGAAAATTAAGAACATAGTTGATGGATTCATAGCTGCCAATTTCCAAACTTACTAGAAAGCTATAATAATCAAGACAGTGTGATACTGACATAAGGACAAACACAGATCAATGGAACAGAATTAAAAATCCAAAAGCTGATCCTTATATTTAATTTGTTAAATAATTGATATTTAACAAAAGTGCCAAAGCAATTTAATGAGAAAAGGATAGTCTTTTCAAAAAATGGTACTAAGATAATTGGATATCTGCATGTAAAGAGAAGAATAAAGACCCTTACCTCATAACACATACAAATGAATGCAAAATGGCATAAACCTAAATGTAAAAACTAAAATATAAAGCTTTTAGAAGAAAACATAGGGAAAAAATTTTCAAGACCTTGGGTTAGGGAAAGATATATTTAGATATGACACCAAAAATATTGTACAATCCATAAAAGAAAAAAATTAATAAGTTGGACTTCCATCAAAATTTAAGATGTTTGTGCTTCAAAAGACACTATTGTGAAAATGAAAGCCATGACACAGACTGGGAGAAAATACTTATAAATCATATGACTGATAAAGAATTCTTGTTAAAAATAAGAACTCTTGGGCTTCCCTGGTGGTGCAGTGGTTGAGAGTCCGCCTGCCGATGCAGGGGACACGGGTTCGTGCCTGGGTCTGGGAAGATCCCACATGCCGCGGAGCGGCTGGGCCCGTGAGCCATGGCCGCTGAGCCTGCACGTCCGGAGCCTGTGCTCCGCAACGGGAGAGGCCACAACAGTGAGAGGCCCACGTACTGAAAAATAAAAAAAAAATAAGAACTCTTATAACTCAATTAAAAAAAAAAATTTAAAAATGGAGAAGATTTGAATAGACATTTCATGAAAGAAGAAACAGGAATAGCTAATAACTGCAAGAAAACATGTTCAACATCATTAGCCATTAAGGAAATGAAAATTAAAATCACAATGAGATACTACTTCACACCCATTAGAATGACTATAATCAAAAAGACAATAACAGGGACTTCCCTGGTGGTCCAGTGGTTAAGAATCTGCCTTCCAATGCAAGGAACACAGGTTCAATCCCTGGTTGGGGAACTAAGATCCCACATGCCGTTGGGCAACTAAGCTAACGCTCCACAACTACTGAGCCCATGCACTGCAACTACTGAGCCTGTGCACTCTGGAGCCCATGCGTCACAACTAGAGAGCCCACATGCTGCAACTACTGAGGCTGCATGCCACAAGTAGAGAGCCTGTGAGCCGCAACTACTGAACCACATACTGCAACGAGAGATCCCGCATGCCACAACTAAGACCCGACGCAGCCAAATTAAAAAAAAAAAAGACAATAACAAGCACTGAGGAGGATGTAGAAAAATTGGAACCTTCATACATTGCTTGTGGAAATGTAAAATGGTACAGCCACTCTGGAAAACAGTATGGCAGTCTCTTAAAATGTTAAACATAAATTTACTGTAGCACCCAGCAATTTAACTCCTAAGTATCTCCCCAAGAGAAATGAAAACCTGTATCCACACAAAGTCTTATACCCAATCTTTTATAGCAGCCTTATTCATAACAGCCCCAAGCTGGAACAACTGGTAAATGGATAAACAAAATGTAGTATATTAATATAGTGATGCAATATTATTCAGCCATAAAAAGGAATGAAGTACTGATACATGCTACAATATGGATGAACCTCAAAAACATCATGCTAAGTGAAAGAAGCCAGACAAAAAGGTCACATATTATATGATGCATTTATAGGAACTGGACAGAAAAGGCAAATTTATAGAAATGGCAAGCAAAATAGTGTTCGTCTGGGTCTAGGGGTGGGAGCTAAGACTGACTGCACATGGTGGACACTAGGGTTCTTTTTTAGGTCATGAAAATGTTCCAAGACTTGATTGTGGTGATGATTGCATAAATTAACTAAAATTAAAATAAATTAACTGAATTGTATACTTCGATCAGGTGAATTTTATATATAAATTATGCCTCAAAGTAGTTTTTAAAAAACTCTACATGGATTCCAACTATTTATATCTTCCAAAATTACTATTCCTTTAATCTCTGATGTTTTTAAAATGACAAAACTTTTCACTAATCATTCCTGCTCTGCAATCAATTTTTTAACTTCCAGTCAATTTTTAACATTTTGTGAAAGCTAATTCTCAGAAGTTGGATTCATTTTCTTTAATCTATATAATTGAGATGACAATTTTGATGAGTTTCTTTCATTCCCCAATAACCCAATGAGTTGATGTAATCAGGCAAAATGAATGATCTAATGACTCACTCAGTCATGATATAACGACTGTAATACTACTTTACAAAGCTATAATGATTCTAAAGCTCTCTAAGTCTCCTGAAGAAATAAAAATACCACCTGTCAGATAAAATGATTTATACATTCTTCGGTATGTGCAGTATAAATCATTGTCTAACTGGCATGACACCCACTTTTGCATCCTACGTTTTTAACCCTTTTTGCCCCCTCCACATAGAGAAACAGAATTTACACTGCTCTTCACTAGATTTGTTTTTTGTCCTCAAAAAGTCCCAAATACGGCATCAATCTCTTTCCTCAGATCTCAGGAATAAACACTTCCTCCAGTCATCTATTCCCCCAAACATAGACAAATAACTTCTATGTGTTCTCTGTAATGAATTTACCCTTATGAAGAAAGAAATCATGGAAGACTTATACCAATGGTTTCTTTCTCCATCAATGATCAGATACATTCCTGATTATATGCCCTCCCTCTATTTTTCCGTCTATTTCTAAGTCTCTACCAGTGGCTTTCAGGAGTACCTGGCTTGGGCTGTGTTTGATTCACAAGGGTCCTGATGGCAGGTCATGTTCCATCACTTTTTTCCATCCAATCTTAAAAAAGAGAAAAAGGATTCGCTCAATCTGTGGCTTACAGTACGAACGTTGAAATTATTTTTAAATATATATATATATATTTATAAACATAAAGACAAACACAAAGATTTAATTTCATGTCAGTCTTCAGGCTTCAGTTTCATTCCAAGCAACTTCTTTCCCATATATTTCTAAATGTTAAATTCTGGAAAAATTAGTTACAACTGAATATTCATTGAATTCATTAAAGTGTATGTATGTGGATTTTTTTAAGAAGCCAATTCTTATCTGGCCTAAAAGGAATCTATTTAAACTAAAAATTCAATCAGTAAATTCAACAAATATCTATTGAACACCTACTGCTCAACAGTCCCTGGATACTTAGGGACAAATAAGGAACAGTTTCCACCTTCAAGAAGTTTATAAGCTGATAGGAGAGAACTAATCAGAACTACATATAATTTAAATCAGATTGGGATAAGTACCACAATATTAAAAAAAAAAAAAAGCCATGAAAACACAGGTTGTACTTGGGAATCATGCAAGATTTCAAAAACTTCCCTTGACAAAAAGATAATGCTTCAACTGGAATGGAATTGGGAGTGGAGAGTAGTAACAGAATCCTGGGGAAGAGAGTCAAGTGGGGTGCAGTGTAGATGTAGTCTCAGATGAGTGAGGGCATATTGGGAGAGAAGGCTGAAGTCTGATGAAGATAATAATACTAGCTAATATTTATTGAGCATTTACTATGTGCCAAGTACTATTTAAAGCACTTTACATATATTAACTTATTTGATCCTCACAACTACCCTATGAGGAACGTACTGTTATTATTCCCATTTTATAGATGGCAAAACTGAGGTATAGAACAGTTAAGTAGTCTGCTCATGGTTACACAGACACAGATAACAGTTATGGAGCCAGGATCTTGAAATCCATAAATAATAAAAGAAGAACAAATTCTATCTCACCCCTAACTACATTCATTATAAGAGCAATTAACAGGTATCTTAACTACCCCTTCTCCCATTAATTCCTAAGCCATCCTTCAAGGCCCAGCTCCAATGTTTCCTTCCTACAAAACCTTTCTTGATCCCCCAGCTGAACAATATATATTTCTCCTCTAAGCTTTGTAGCACTTATCTGGATCAATCTTACAGCAAACAGCATATGAACAAAATCTTAATATTTCATTCCTAGCATTACGGATTTTATGTGCATCATTCCCTCTTTTAAGTTCTCCTTTATACTTTGTATTCTCCACCCCTCCTAGGGCAGTGCCTGGCACTTAATGGTAGCTATATCTATGGAGCACTTATTCTTAACAAGGCATTGTGCTGAGTATTTTACAGGAACTCTCTCACAAAATCCTTACAGCAACCCTATCCAAGCATTCAATCGCTATTTTCAGTCCCTTCTGTGGCAAATAAAATACTAGATGACTCTTAAACTCAGTAAACAAGGCAGATATGGTCCATGTCCTCAAGAAGCTCACAGTCTATGAAGAAGTACTATTGGTATCCTCTAGAATAGAGATGAGGAAAAGTGAGACTCAAAGAAATTAATTTGTTTGCCCAGAATCACACAGCAAAAAAGTGGCAGAGTCTGAATTCAAACTCAGCTCTCCAGACTGGATATTTGGAACCCTGTGCATAAAACCACTATGGTCTAAAGGAGGCACCTAAGAAACACTTATTGAAGGAAAAGTTTTAGAAAACTCCTACAATGAAAACTATCCCGAGGATAATGAAGACTTCCATTCAATTTCGCTCTGAGAGGAAAGCAGGAAATGAGCAACAGCGCAGATGGAGGTTGTAGTAGTATCCTCATACACACCTGATAGCTCAGAACTGCTAATCAAGCCATCTGCTGAGGAGACCTGCTCAGCACTGAGGATTTCCTCGTGTCCCTTAAAGTGGTCCCTCCTGAGCAACAAGGCCTCGCTGCGCGCCAGGATGGTGTAGCGAAGTCACTAATTCTCAATGAGACCCTGTATCTCCTACCAGATAACCGGTGGCGTGGAATGGAAGGTAAAGACGCACGGCTCCTTATTTAAACGTGGGGCAACTATTCTCGAAAGGTGAACCCCCGCCCCCGAGAGAAGCGGCCTCCAAAAAAGGTGTGTCTATACTTCTCACCGGAGGAGTGAGGAAGCAACCACGAGGGGATTACGAGAGACCCAACAAACAACGCAGGCACCCCTGGCCCTGTGGGCGGACATCCCACAGCCCACAGCCTGCTGGCCAGACAGACTCCCTTCTCCAAACGCCACTGTGGCGGCCGCACTGTTTGGCCTATCCTAGTCATCTCCCAAACAAAAGAGGTTTTGGAGTAGCGATATCCCAAAATATAGACCAGGCATTAATAGGCACCTGGAGGCACGCGTCTTACTCCCCACGATTTCTTAGCCCAACAGACCACCTGACTTTACACCAGGTTCTCCGCGTTGGGCGGCGGAGACGACCTCTAAGGGCCAGATCCTGACCCAGGGCCTCCTGCGACAGCGTGAACAGACAGCCTCCGCCACTGGGTCGACTCCGGTTCCCGCGACCCGCCAGCTGGCAGGCCCCGCCCCACCCCCTACGCTCTGGCAGTTAGGCCGGCAACCCGCTCACAGGAGCAGCGGCCGGGACACAGTAGGCTTGTCCTGTGAGGGCCGCACGCTTCACCGCCCCCGCCACGCCCCTCGACCCCGCACCGCCAATGGCCTGCTGCGCCGGCGCAGCATGCTCCAGGCCCAGCCCTCCCTCGACGACCGTGCGCTGAGCGCATGCGCCTTGAGAGGCCGGTTGGGTGAGGGATTCTTAGCGAGGGAGGGGGAGACGGAAATGGAGGGTCTCCGCGCGCATGCCTTCGCCCCTGACACCAAGCCCGCTAGAGAGCGCGTTGGGCGGAGCCGGGGGCGGCGGTCGCCGGGGAGATCAAGGCCCTGGGTCCGACCCCGAGCTGGAGCGGGGTGCCGGAGGCCCGCTAACCCGCCGGTGTTTGTGTCTATGTGCCCTCGCAGGGAGACATGGAGAACTGTTTGGCGGCCGCGGCGCTGAACGGGGTAGACCGACGTTCCCTGCAACGCTCGGCTAGGCTGGGTCAAGAAGTGCTGGAGCGGGCCAAAAGGAGGGCGGTGGACTGGCATTCGGTGGAGCTTCCCAAAGGCAGCGTGGGGGTCATTTCCCGGGAGCGGCCCTACAGAGAAAGAGGGCTGGCAGCCGGCCCCCATCGCCTTCTCCCAGGAGAGGTGAGGGCCCCAGTGCTGCGGGACCAGCCCATTCATTCGCTCAGCAGCGGCTTGCTGAGAACCGGGGCACGCCACACAGCAGCACCCGAGGGATCCTGTCCTTGGCGGAAGCTGTTAAGTATCAGGACAGTGAACCGGAAAGCCTTTTGAAAACTCTTGACGTTTGACAGATTCCTATTGGCTAGCTTTAGGATACCGCTGGAGACCGCTAGTGCTCGGCCCTGGTTGGTTACTTTTTACAACAATTCTTACAGGCTACCGTTTGATATTAGAGGAAAGCCAACAAACCTGTCTTTGTCCTGGAAAAATTGCATGTCTGTGTATTCCTTTTAGAGTTGGAATTCTTTCTCAGTAAGAGCCTTTTACTGACTTAAACGAGCCGTGGCCTTTCAAAAAGTAAAAAGGAAGGTATTCCCAAAATGACTTCCTTCTCCAGTAGGGAATACAGATCTCACCTGTGACTTGCCGTTTATTCACATAGAGAGAAGAAAGACACCCAACCCTCAGTGCTTCCTTCAGAACAATGGCTGAATTCATGGACTATACCTCAAGTCAGTGTGGGGTAAGTTGGTGTAAGCCAAAGTCATGCCCCTGATCTGCCTGCTGATGGATCACAAAGTGGATTTTTGTGGAATTTAGGGAGAATCTGGAGACTGCCTGTTCACCCTGCCCTGCCTTCGTGGGCAGGTTGTAATCAGCCAAGGGTTTAAACCAGGTGATAAATCCAGGTTAGAATTCATTCAACAAATATTGGATGCCTAACTTTAACTGTTATGAGGATACAGCAATGCACAAGCCAGAAAAGATCTGCCCTCACTATTGTTTGGGGGGGCGGGGCTTATTTGCTGAATTCCAAAACAAGTCCGAATATTAGCGGTATTTAAAACTTTGAACTGAAAATTTTTTTTTAATCAGTAAGATCGTTCTAAACTGGAACCGAGCCTCTCTGTTTTCAAAGCAAAAACTGAAACAGAATCCCTCCATTAGATCTTAATCTCTGTTCCAAGTCCCTGGTAAGGTGGTGTGCTTTTGTGTGTGTGTGTGTGTGTGTGTGTGTGTGTGGCCACACAGCATGTGGGATCCTAGTTCCCCAACCAACTTGCACCCCCTGCATTGGAAGCACGGAGTCTTAACCACTGACCACCAGGGAAGTCCCCCTGGTAATGTAGTTTTTAAGTATGCCCCTTTGGGTCCATATCACTTGTTGGCCACAGAGGTGGTTATGTGGCACAGATGCAGTGCCCTCATCAGAGGTAGCATGGCTTAATGGCAGGAGCAGCCTCCCAGGAATCAGACCTGTGTTCTGCCACTTTCTGGCTATAATGCCTTAGGCTAGTTAGTCTCTCTCAGCCTTACCTTCCCACATGGTACAATGATGATGTTTCAAGTCCTTTCCAGCCCTTCTAATCTGTTTCTTTGGTTTCCCCTGAGAGATGAACACCAGAAAATTGTCATAAACTGTAGCACAGGGTACTTATGTGAGATTTTTAGTCCCATTCATTGAAGTGGGTGAACAAAGGTTTTAAAGGCCCTCTTCTCAAAACCATACACTAAGGTCATCTTTAAGTACTTTCAGGGAATGTTGAAGGCAGGCAGCCAACATTCAAGAAAATCACCTGCATGGAAGGTACTCTCTGTCTTCTAGGAATTAAAACAGACTCTGTGGTCTCTTCCAGCCTTAACATTTTATGATTCTTATGTGTTTGTAAGGGTGCTTGGTCTGTACGGCAGAAGGAAGAGAATACCTTGTTTCTGTCCTGCTTTTCAATTTCATAATGAATATTAAGTTTCAAAAAATCTCTAATACTTCTACATCTTTTATAAAATCCTTGTGACTCCAAAAATAGGATTTCAACCAGTGAGATACAGTTCAGAGAGTATTTTTATGTTATTATTTTGTTAAATGGTTTTAGAAAAGTCCATAACTTTGGCTCTACTATAAAGTGATCAAGTTAAACACTTTGGTTCATGTTTCAGTAAAAGGAATAATATTTGTCTTTGGTTTGAGGTTTAGCAAATTGGTGTTCTTCGTTTTGGTTTTCAGTTCATGCTTTAGTTCAAATCTCCATTAAGGAATGGAGGCTCAGAACCTCTCAGCTTTCTAGAAATAGAATTAAGAACAGTGTTTGAGTTTGCTTTCAGAATTTTGGAGCATCCCCTAAATTACATCATTAGAGTCATGTCCTGACATGCTTTCCCCAGCTTCTCATTATTTTGGTCTCTTGCCTTAAACATTGTCCCTACCCTCTGTTCAAAGCAAGCAGGCTTATGTTGTCCTCATCATTAGTCACAATCAGGGGCAAGTCTAAGGTTAACTTTGAGGGGGAGGAAGGAAGTGGACAAGAAAAAAACTGCATTCTGATCCTTTGGATTATTTTTGCTTAGATCGGAGTCTTCTCCCTCCCCTCCTCCGCATGGGGAGAACGGCTGCATAGCTGTTGGGTTTATGTTATATTTCTTGTTGTATTTCTAAATCTCAAGGAGATGCACCTCTCTCTTCTCTTGTCCTTGTCTGAGACTTAGTAAACCCAGATCTGTTTGTCAGAACTTGTCATGAGAGGAGATGAAAGGGCTTGTGTATTTGACCTCGGGGTGAGGATGTTGTGAAAATTATTTAACCTGGCAGAGAGCATGGTCCTACCCAGCTTGAGTTGCCAGAGTTCTTGCCCTACAGAGGCAGCAGATGGCAGCAAAGTAAGGCCAAGTGCAGTTTCCTTCTCTGCAGCCACTTTACACGGGCTAAGATTTGCTATATGACTTCAAAGGCCTCTCAAGAGGGCAGGTAATTTACCTTTGCTCTCTTGCCTCCCTCCTTAACCACATTTGCCCAAGTAACAAGGAGTTTTTTGAAAATTTGACCAGTCTATTTGGTTACCCAGCATCTTTCACATTACTTCTCTAGAAATATTATTCATCTGTGCCAGAGGAAGGAGGGGCAACCCACGTCTATCGTTATCACAGAGGGAAGTCGAAGCTGCACTTGTGCTCGGACACTGGGAATGGTCAGGTATGTATCCTCAGCTGTGCTGTGCTGTGCCCTCAGCTTCCCAAGATAGGAGGCCTTACATCTTGGAGCTCCTGCTGGATTGTATTATTGGATGCCTGGGTGACTCAGCATTACAGCACTCCACAGAAATCTATCACCTCCCAGCCTTAGAGAACTTACAGCAATGAACATGAAATAGGAGTTTTTGTCCAAAATAAGATATTAATGCCACTGTCGGATCTTCAGTTGAACCTGCAGTCCTGGGCCAAGGGATTCTTGGACAGGCTTAACAAAAAGCCTTTCAAATATCCTCTTCTGCATCTAGGGATATGAAAGAGATTTTTAATAATCACATATTTCACTCTACGGTAGTGATAAGTATCATGTCTTTGGTAATTTTAAAAAAGGAAATGCAAGGTGGGGGTTTCTTTTAACAAAATGCTTTTCCTAAAGATAATTACAAGCCTCTCACTGCAAATTACCTGTATTTTACCACATGTCACTCGGGGAAGCCAAAGACTCTGCTTGTTGAACTGATTCAACAGGAGTCCTTTGTTGTTGTTTCTGGGGAGAGTAGGCTTTTTTTCCTTTTGTTTTTCTTTTTAAACTCCCCTGGTTGTACTCAAAGATAGCAAACTTAAGTTCAGAGTCTAATCCACAGGTTGGATTCCTGACTTCTCTGGCCTGTGGGTTTAGGGAAGGGACGGGAGAGTGGCCGCAGGGATGTGAGCCATCCTGTTTCCCTGGCCTGGGGTACAAGGGGTAGCACCAGAGCCTGGATCCTGGGCTTCCTCTTCTGCCCTGGCTTAGGCCCTCTTAAGAGTGCTTGACCCTAAGGGAGTTACATGTGGGCAAGAGTCATTCGTATCCCTCCCATCCCTTCCTATAAGACGTAAATTGGTGCCTCTAAGGGAAATTGACTTTCTCAGTTCAGCCTCTTCCCCTCTAGTACTCCCACTGCTGGGAGAACCTTGGAAGAGAATTCTATTTTCTGAGAGCCTGTTAAATGTCAATCACTTTTGCCCTTTAGATCTTCCTTACAGTGTAGTATGCCGAAGCTATAGACTAGGAAACCAAGGCATAGAGAAATTAATCTGTCCGTCTCAGTAAATGACAGAGATAGGATTCAAACTCAGGTCTATCTGAGTCCAAAGCCCATGTAAGGATAAAAGGTAATCATGGTAAACATCTGACTAAAAATACTTTGCAGAATTCACTAAAAGCCTTAAGAACTTAGGTGACAACTTGGAAAACACTGACAGAACAATTGTTAGTTCCTAATTAAGAAGGAAAACTTTTCTACCATCCAGAAGTCAAAGTTTGGGCCCTAATCAATGTTTCTACCTCACTCTTCAGAGAAAAGACACCCCCCTTGGTGTCGGAGGCATCCGTCAGACGTCAGAGTGTGCGCTAGAGGCATCCCAGCCTGTGAGTACAGAACTTCTAGGGTACTGGGCTCCACCACCACTGCAATTCCATGAACTGATCTGGTTACTATAGGGTTCTTTGTACTGGATCTATAGTATTTTTAAGTTGGGATATTTTTACCCTTGGGGACAGTGTACAACATTTTAGTTCAGTGTAAAATTATGTTTTCTTGGTATCCTTCCTTCACTTGAAATTTCAGGGATACTCTTTGTGCCTGAACTCATAGTTGCGGTTGGAAAGAATGCAAAGTATTCATATCTCCATTCCTACAGCTCAGCTGGGCTGGCACTGGGTCCTGTTGGAATTCCACCATCTGTTCAAGCAGCAGGAGGGGCCTGACCCTCCTGCTTACAAAGTGAAAACCATTGCTGAAATTCTGAAACGTGTACATTTGGTTAGATCAGGTTCCAAAACATTTGAAGGGATTTGTTCCTATTTTCCGCAAATGTTTCTCTGTGAAAACATACAGTGATGTTTTTAGGATAAAATATTCATTAGTTCATGAACCCATGGAATCTTTTGGAACTTGGAAGAGCTGGAATTCTGAGGAATGGAACTCTGGTGTGTTGCTGCAATAGTTTGCTTAATTTTTGTTTGCATACAGTGTGCTACTAGCCAGGATTCAGAATATACTAGAGTTAGTAGCAACTAAGACTATTCTGCTTTTAGTACAAGTTGTTAGGCTTAGATGCCTCTAATACTTACTGTATTTTGGTAATGCTAATCTTCCTGATGTTCACAGTGTAGGAATCACAGAGGCCAATCTTGTACCTTTTATGCAGACAAATGAAGCATCCTTGGCTTTCTGCAATTCTGATACAGCTGTATTTTCTGAAACCTTTTGTTTATTTTCATAGTTGATGACTAATAAATAGTTGTGGCGTTGTCATACACATTCACGTCAGTTAAATGATGATAAGCCTCCAATTTTGCAGTAACTGGGCATGAAAGGATATAGCATAAAGCAGCTTCGGAAAACCTTGGCTTCAAATCTATTTGCAAGATGGAAAGAGAGGAAGTTTCATAAAAGTATAAATATTATCATTTATTCCTCCTAGCAGAATTTACTGGCAGTAGTTTGGTCCACCTGCCCCCCACCCCCAGGGGTGGTGTAGAAATGACAGCTTCTGTCTGTGGCTCCTTCTGAGCATTGAGTAAGCATTGGTAGTGGTCTCCCAGTTGTGGGATAGGCGCTTGGGCTCTTAATTACAGGCTCTTTTCTGGTTTGTGACTTTGCTCTTTGGCCATTTGAGCTGAGACCCTTCCTCTGCCTGCATATCTGCCATGACCACTTACCAGCCGGGCATGAAGTCTGTCCTTGGAGAATGGCTTGTGCTCAGCTCAGCTCTAAACATAAATCTTTCCACTAACTCCAGTTTCCAGTGTTTTGTAGTATCGATCTTCTTTGACTTACGTCCTGATAAACCCATTGTAAGTTGAAAATATCATAAATTGAAAGTGCATTTATTTTTTTATTTTTAAATTTTTATTTATTTATTTTTGGCTGCGTTGGGTCTTCGTTACTGCATGTGGGCTTTCTCTAGTTGCAGTGAGCAGGGGCTACTCTTTGTTGCGGTGCATGGGCTTCTTATTGCGGTGGCTTCTTTTGTTGCAGAGCACGGGCTCTAGGCACACAGGCTCAGTAGTTGTGGTGCACAGGCTTAGTTGCTCCGTGGCATGTGAGATCTTCCTGGACCAGGGCTCGAACCCGTGTCCCCTGCACTGGCAGGCGGATTCTTAACCATTGCACCACCAGGGAAGTCCAAAAGTGCATTTAATACACCTAACCTACTGAACGTCATAGCTTAGCCTAGCCTACCTTAAACGTGCTCAGAACACTTACATACCCTGCAGTTGGGCAAAATCATCTGACACAAAACCTACTTTATAATAAAGTTTTGAATAGTTCATGTATTGATAATTTATTGAATGCTGTACTGAAAGTGAAAAACAGACTGGTTGTATGGGTGCAGGATGGTTATAAGTGTATCAGTTGTTTACCTTCGTGATCCTTGTGGCTGACTGGGAGATCGCTCACTGCCGCTGCCCAGCATCACGAGAGAGTATTGTGCTGCACATCACCAGCCCGGGAAAAGATCAGAATTCAAAATTGGAAGTACGGTTTCTACTGAATGCGTATCACTTTCACACTATCGTAAAATCAAAAAACCATAAGTCTGACCATTATAAGTCGGGGACCATCTGCTTAGGAGAACCGGTCTCCCAAGGGAGGGCTTTAGCCAGCCAGCTGACTTTCTGCATGACAAAGTGAAATCTACTCATACTGTTCTCAGCTTTAGGTGAAAAGAAATGTTCCATCCTCCTAATAATGAACTTAGCAAAGCACAGTTAAAAAGAATACTTCTCATTATCCCACAGCGCCTTGCCATTACTGCTGATCTGTGATAACAAGTGCCACTGCCTACTTTTGAGCCCCAAAGCAATCGTCATTAGCCTTTCCCTCTGATTCTTAACCTTTCTGCTCCAACCAGAGTGTTCCTTTTATGATCCTTCATGTTCCTATAACAATTTAGTGTTTTCACATACATGCTTATTTGTGAGCTAATTTTAGAAATAAGGAAACAAGCATAAGGAGAGGCTGAGACTGGCCTAAATGGCAGTCCTATTACGTTGCCAAGCCAAGCCTTGAAAGCAGGACCTCCATCTCCCACGTTAGTACCTCACTCCATCACACACAGAGGGAGCCGGGTGGAGGTGCCCTGACGGCACTGGTACATAAAATCTCTAAACTGCTAATATCCACTTTTCCTTCCAGGCTGAGAACATCTCTAAGGACCTCTACATAGAAGTATATCCAGGGACCTATTCCATCACTGTGGGTGTAAATGACTTGACCAAGAAGACTTACATGGTAGCAGTTGATTCAGGACAAAGTGTGGACTTGGTCTTCCCCATATGATGTTGACCATCACAGACATCGCCTTTTTCTTGTTTGTTTTTTAAGTATCAAGAAGAATAAAGCTACCATATATCCTCTTAAAGTTTACACATTAATCCTGCTTTTAATGCTGACTGTAGAGGGTCAGCCTTCCTAGGAACTGGAGTTTGTCTCTTTCAGTGCCTATTTTAACTTGAAAGTCCCTTCACCCTCTTCTGCCTGAAGTAATAATGTAATGATGCTGTCTGAATAGTTTTTACTGCTTGCTTTCCAAGTAAAGGTTAATTATGATAATAAAGTGAGAAATTTGGAAATGAAGAGAATTCCTTTTTATTGGCATTAAGAAGTCAAACAAAATGTTGCTCATGTACAACTGAGGCTTCATGAAAAGATGGCAGAGAGGCTGTGGACACATTTGCCCAAATCAGGCCAACCATGTTCTGTAGCTTCTGTGGAAGAGGCATCCTCAAGCAGATCGCACCAGGCCCCTGGAAGGGAGCCCTCGCCAGGGCCGCCACACTCCTGTGCCCCTTAGGACAGGTGCCTTCCTGCCACTTATCTGCAGGGATGTCTTCCTGGGGTGAAGATTATTGGACTATCACCTGTGGCCTGCACTGTACCATTTCCATAGAAGAAGGCCTTGTGTCAGCCACTTTGTAACTAACTCCTCCTCAGGTATCTACTCTTTAGCTTCCTACAAGAGAAAAAAAAATCCTGAGAGTCTTATTTTGACTTTAAAATCAGTGACTTTCTATCCTTAAAATTACAAAGTCATTGATGTGTCCTAAACATCTTTAAGCTACCACACCAACAGTATTGTTGCATCTCTCCGTTTAGTTGCCTAGGGAGTCACCTCATTTTGAACATGTCTTTCCTCAGAAAAAAGGCCAGTATTTTATATGATGAAAACAAAGGTTTGGGGACCTCCCTGGCAGTCCAGTGGTTAAGACTTCACCTTCCAATGCAGGGGGTGCGGGTTCTATCCCTGGTCGGGGAGCTAAGATCCCACATGCCTCACAGCCAAAGCACCAAAAAAACATAAAACAGAAGCAATATTGCAAAAAATTCAATAAAAGACTTTAAAAATGGTACACATCAAAAAATATATATATCTAAAAAAAAGAATACAAAGGTTTAAGTAGAGCTGTATTCGCATTCCTAGCAAAGAACAGACTCTCACGGACCGAGGGCCTAGGAAAGCAGGCCCATGCCCACCACCATAGGGTAGAGGGGTCAGTTAACTGGGGATCCTTGCACCCCTAGTGATGAAATTCGTGGGTTCTGTAAGCCTTCTGAAATCATATGCAAAACTGTGGGTGTGTGCATTTTTCTGGGAAGAGGGGCCATCGGTTTTATCATTCTCAAAAGTGGTATGACCCCAGAAGGTCAAACAACCATGGAAAGAGTCCTTCAGAAGCCCCTTCCCAGCCATCTGCTTTACCTAGATCCTTGGGGCTTTTCGTTTAGGGGGAATTCTGGTCTCCTGATGTGCCGCAGTACCCCGACTCAGTTTTTTGTGTTCAGCTTCCTCTGGCAAGATCTGTAGTGGCTTCATGCCAGTGGCTTCCAGGACCAGCTCCCTGGGACTCCCCGCTGCTGCAGTTTTCACTTTCTGTTGTTTGTTACCCTTCTCTTCTTTCCCGATGTTGCAAAGTCTTGTTCCTAAACCCAAAATTCAGTTAGTTGAATATGCCACCATTTTGATGGGATTAGACTTGACTTATGTAGAAGTGTATCAAGGATCACAGAATCCCTTAACTGTCTGAAGCCTGTTTCAGTCATAAGCGAGGGTGGAGAGCAGCATGACTGCTGGCATGAATCCTGGCCCTCTAGGACTGTTAGGTTAGTCTCAGACAGTAACCTCACTGCCTGCAACTAAAAGGAGCCAAAAGTGTGGAGGGCGGAGGACCCATACAAGAGGATCCTTAAGAGGTAGAGCCTCAGACCAGACTGTGAAGCATCAGTGCTTGATGGCAATCAAGCGCAGTGAGGAGAAGCAAAGCAGCACATTTCCTTAAAAGGATACAAGATCTGGAGGGGAGAGAAGAAAAGCTCTGGTATTTGCCATTGTTTCTAGCCCAGGCACACACGTCGTTTTACAAGCTTCACCTCACCAGTTCACCTCGCTAGTTAGTGTAGTGTGCAGCACTCCATCTGGGACGGGGGTTGGAGATGCCCCTTTCTCCACGCCCCATGCAGGCATACTCTCCATAGCTTTGGGTGCAGAGATAGGACCTGGCAGAAGGCAGGCTCACTGATTCTCATGGTTCAGCTCCAAGAATTAACCTTTGCCCAGAGCATAACAAATGATCCAGTACCTAGAGGAAAGCCAGGCCAAGTACCTGAAGATACTATATTTCTCCTTATAGCCAATTATTAGAATGTATTTGGGTGCGGGGGAACTTTAGAGTGGATCTGTTTAAATATGGTGATGCGGGGAGAGAGGCTGAATGTAGGTGTGGGTGCGTGGGTAGTGGCGATAAGAGCGGTGTATGCTTGGGGCCAGGGAAGATTTGTTTGGCCTCAGTCAGGTTTAGAACCAGTCTGGATAGAACGCCATGGAGCAGGCTACAGCCATGGGAATGCAGGCCTGGAGTCTGGGGCAGGTCTGACCGCCATGGCTTCTGGTTACCCCACTGGCATTCCTCTCCCTGAGACTGGTCTCATGCCACCTCAGTTGCTGCCCCAGAGACTCCTCCTTGTTGGAGAGATACAGCTTTTCTTTTTTTTTTTTTTTTTTTTTTTGCGGTATGCGGGCCTCTCACTGTTGTGGCCTCTCCCGTTGCGGAGCATAGGCTCCGGACGCGCAGGCTCAGCGGCCATGGCTCACGGGCCCAGCCGCTCCGTGGCATGTGGGATCCTCCCAGACCGGGGCACGAACCCGCGTCCCCTGCATCGGCAGGCGGACTCTCAACCACTGCACCACCAGGGAAGCCCGAGATACAGCTTTTCTTTCTCCAGTCTGTGCTGAAGCAGGAGGGCAGTGGAAACTATGGAGAATTTAGCTTGAAAACTCTAGACTTTGGCACCATTTTCTTTATATTATCACTTGTTGGAGGGCATACCCTGTAGAAACAGCTGCTTCCAAGCAGCTTCTGCCAAGGCCTTTCACTGCAAGGAAAGAGGCCCAGGAACACCTATCCCTGCTCCCACCTTTATATTTTCAATACAAAGTGTCCTCTCAGGGAGGGGAGGAAGAGCCCAGCTGGTCATAGCTATAGCTTCTCGTCCCTCTACTTATTTCCCTCTCAGAGGTGGGGGAAAGATCGCACACCTCGAAAGCCAAGGGAGGAACCTCATCTAAAATACAGCAGCAGCCAACACATCCATCCCTGCCCACTCCGAAGCCCAGGGGTCCAGAGGAGTCCCCCAAGAAGGTTTCTCAGTGTAGAAACAATTTCTCAGCCTCCTGGAACTGAAGACTAATAAAGGCCTTACTCCTGGTGTAAGATTAAAATCCTCGTGGGCTGAGAGGTCCTTCTGGTTGAGCAGCTGTCCTGAAAATAGGGCAATGGCTTCCCATGGGGACCCACAATGAGTCCCAGTGTGGGCAGTGCCTACAGATCCTTATGCCCTTAGCGGTGGTATTCTTTAGCCCTCAGTATCCCTGCCCCAGAGTGGATGTTCATTTAGTTCACTGAGGTTGAATTAGTCAGCACAGGGCCCCAAGAATCTAGTCTAGGGCTGGCTTATCCAAGTCACCTCCTTCACAAAGCTCTGCCAGCTGCCTTAGGCGTCTGCTCTTTCTGGGCCCCACTGGGAATTTAGACCGCACGGCATGAGGCATATCAATGATACACTGCTCTAAACCTACACGGGCATGTTGCTTGGGTAGAGAAGTTTGGGGATGGCTGCAGGTTGCCGAAGACAATGACACTGCCTCCCCTCTCAGTGGTAGAGTGAGACGCATAAGGCTGTGCCTGGTTCCTCCCGCTCTGACTTCCTAAGGGGCCCATCTGGAGAGTAGGGTCTGATGGCCAGTGTTTAAAGACCCGTTTCTGTGCTTCTCAGGGTGCTGAAAGACTCCAGTCAACACCTGGAGGCATTCTGACTGTACATCTAGAGAAAAATCAATGCCTCCAAGGAAAATGAGGGAGGGGAGGGTAGAAATGGACAGTGGCAGAGTCCTGCCGGTAGAGACTAGTGAACAAAGAAAAGACAGTTGTCAAATAGGGATGCAAACCTTAGCACAAAGATCTGCCCATCCTTTCTTGTTAGGTTTCCATTTAATCAATAAAACCCACGTTTCCCTCTTATCACAGCCCCTCCTTTGACATGACTAAGTGTTACTTCCAATCCCAGCACAGCGGACATGTGCATCAGATTCCTGAGAGACACATGGGAGGGAAGGGAGCAGGGGCCTCAGCCCTGCCTTAGGAAAAGGTCTACCTGGCTTCCTGGGATGCGGCTCGGACCCGTTTCTCCTCCAGTACCTCCATTCCGGCTGGCAGAGGCCACCCTGCCTCCTTGGAGACTCCTCAAGAAGGATGGGGGCCGTGTTGCCTGTGCTGTCCACCAGCAGCCTCTGGGGAAGGCCCATCTTCAGCTCATTCTCCAGATCCTCCTCTTCAGAAGAAGAGGAGGTAGAGGAGGAAGAAACAGCCATGGGAGCCTGCACTGCTACTTCTTCCTCCTTAGGACCCTCAAGGGGCAAAAGCTGTGCCGTGGGCTTCAGCTCCGTCTCTGGATGCTCTCTGGCTGTGACCCCTGAGGTTCTGGTTAGAGGCCACCAGGTGGGTCCAGCCAAGGGGCGGCAGCAGAGGCAGCCCTGGCCCAGCAGCTGGCAGCAGGCATGCGGGTGGCAGGGAGGGCACAGGAATGGAGCGCTCAGAGGAAGCCCGCCGGTGACACATCCAGCGACCGGCCCCACCAGAGAGCAGCAAGTGGCCCAGAGGAGGGGCCTGGGGTGCTCCGTGGTGAAAGGCTTGTGCAGCCTGTTCACAGCCTTCTTCCAGACAGCTGGGGGCACCCACCTGACCCCTCCAAGAGGCACAGGAGCTGTCCTGCCATTCCAGAAGTGAACAGTAATTTCTTCTTCTTTGGATGCTACATAACAGAAAAGGTCACAATTTTGTTACAGCCGCCTCTTTCATATCATGGGATAAGGGTTCTCCTCTCCCCAGAAGCAAAGCCTCATCACAGCCCCTCTGCTCTGCTTCCGCCTGTGTGCACCTCTCCCTGGAGAGCCTGCCAGGGACATTCCTCACCTGCCCCATGTTTACTACCCCTTCCTGTGCCGCCATGTCTTGGTTTTCACGTCAAAACCAAGATGCATCCGCAGGTGGGGGAAGGGAAGGAGAAACCTCCTTCTGTCGCTTCTCTGAACACAACGATGCTGACTGGCTGGCCTCGCACAAGGGGACTGTCCCAGTCCCTGCACGACTTGGTGGGGGACCAGTCACGAGTACTGGTGTGACCCCAGGATAACCTCACCACACCATGGGTTAAGTAACCAACATAGACATAGTAGCCTTGGGCTATTTTGCCCTGATAAAGAATATTTTATAATCTGAAAAATATGATTTGTCTATCTGTGGCCACCCTCAGGACAAAGCTGCAGGTGAAAGGGTAAGGATTTTTTAAGCCTCTAAGACCCCTAAGCTGGAGAGACACCCTTTGCTCTCTCCTCAGCCTGATCACCAGCCTGGCTCCTGGGGACTGGGAGGCCAGAGCGCTCCCTTACCTCTCTGGGGGTCTCTTGCCTCCAAGCCCAAAGGAATGGTGCCGGGGCCATAGCACTGTTGGTCTGGTCCCCAGAGTGCCAGCACCTTGTCCCCAAGGCGCAGTGAGTATTCCACGGATGGCGAGAACTGAATGACATCTTCCTCCAAGACCACGCTCTGCCACTGGGCTGGCAGCCCTGGGCATGTGACAAGGGGAGCCTCAAATTCCACCAGCAGGAACCCCTGCCTCTCCAGCTGTGGGAAAGAAAACACTCAGAATGAGACCTGGCATTAGGAAGTACTACAGGGAGCACCATGGTTCCCTACAACGCCTAGGGCCAGACCCAGGGTCTCCCTCGCATGCGGCAAGGCCCGGTTAGGGAAAGGGCAGGGCCAGGCGCTGCTCGGGAGCCCACTATGGCAGAGACAGGCCGGCTGTGAGGCGGACGCTCTTCCCTCTGCTTCTTGCCGTGGCAACTCTTGTTTATCACTTCTTGCCTTTCCTGTCCCGTGCTCTTCCTTTTCCTGTTTTGTTTTTATGGTGGTACGCGGGCCTCCCACTGTTGTGGCCTCTCCCATTGCGGAGCACAGGCTCTAGAAGCACAGGCTCAGCGGCCATGGTTTACAGGCCCAGCCACTCCACAGCATGTGGGATCTTCCAGGACCGGGGCACGAACCCGTGTCCCCTGCTTCAGCAGGCGGACTCTCAACCACTGCGCCACCGGGGAAGCCCTCCTGTTTTGTTTTGTTTTGTTTTTCTCCTATCTTTATATTTGGCCTGCAATTCACAGGAGTAACCTGGGTCCTCTGGATCTTTCCCCAAGCACACCCCCTCCTCCCAGCACTCCCAGGAAGTGTTGTCCCTGTGTCCGCGGCCAGCCAGGGGTGGGGTATCATCCACAGGCCCTCTCGGGTGAGGACAGGCTGGGGCTGTTGGAGCAGCCCTCTGCACTGCCATTACGTCCATGAGGGGAGGCTGGGCAAAGGAAGCAAATGAGCAGCCTGGCAGAGAGGGCAGGAGAAATACTAAGCTAATTAAAAGAACAAGCTTACAAATTGACTTTTATCAAACCACTAGACAGGATCTATATTTGAGCAAAACCCTGTTAATATTTCATTTGAAATTACATATTAGTTACTTGAAAATGACAAAATGACTTTTGATTGGAAATTCTATCATTTATATATATTTTTAGAAATCACACTTGTTTTCCCTCTATGGATCCACATTCACAAAGTCTGACTCTTTGTGGGAAGACAAAAATACCAAAGAAGCAAGTAACCACCAAAGTAAAGCCCAGGCCTGGCCCCAGCACGCAGGCACCGTGCTCCTGTGTGGAGGGACACAGGCTTACACGAGGAACACACATCTTGCTCCTCTTTCCCTTAGGCTGGCGCCCATAATTTGACACACTGAATTTTCCTGAACAAAGTGCTTTTATTGTATATTTTCTTCACTGTTATGGATTGAATAGTTACCCCACCAAATTCATATGTTGATGTCCTAGTCCCTAGTACCTCAGAACGTGACCTTATTTGGGAATAGGGTCATCGCAGATGTAACGACTTAAGACAAAGTCACACTGAGTACAACTGAGTAGGGTGGGTCCCTAATCCAATGACTGGTGTCCTTACAAAAAGGGGAAATTTGAACACGGACATGCACCCAGGGAGAACAGCATGTGAATATGAAGTCCAAGATCAGGGGATGCTTCTACAAGCCAAGGAACACCAAAGATTGCCAGCAAACCACCAGAAGTTAGGAAAGGCGCATGGAACACATCCTCCCTCACAGCCCTCAGAATCACCAACCCTGCCAACACCTGGACTTCCAGTCCCCAGAACCGAGAGACAATTTCTGTTGTTTAAGCCACTCAGCTTGTGCCACTTTGTTACCCAGCCCTAGCAAATTAATGCACTCACTGACATTACATTTTCACTTCTGCATCCTGACCATGGAAGATCTGTGCTTATCCAAGAAACTGAACTGCTGGGCACACACAGCTGAGGCATATCAGGTATGACAGGGCCATCCAGAGGAGCATATGGGGAGATGTTGGGACTTAGGGACTTGCCTCGGGAGCAGCCTTTATCTGAGCCCTGTAATAAAAGCCATCTGCTTCCCTTCTTGCCAGGACCCATGCGTCCGCAGCATCTCCACCTCTTCTCAGCCAGCCAGGCCCCTGCCATGCTGGGTCAGCAATGTGGAGACACGGGTCATAAGATGCATATCTGGGAAAAAGCAAACGGAATTAGGGAGTAGAGAAAACCAAGCCCTAAAACCATCAAGAAACACGTTTCAGAGTTAGATCTGAGCAGCGCCATGGTGTGTGCATGACAGATAAGGCAATATGGAACAGAAATCCATGTAAAGAGTGGCAATCTGTGACTTCCAGTAAGATAAGGTAAACTACTGGAAGGGGCAGAAGGAGAGGAGAGTGAAGGGAACCGTCGTTTGAGGATTGGGAATTGTTTCAAGGTAATCAGGGTGGGATTAGCTTTTATGTATTCTGGTTATGAGTGCTGGTCTGAGACTAGACAGCAGGCCAGGAAAGACTTCCAGGAAGGGAAATTATGAGGCGGTGTGTGGGATTCCACGATGAGGCATGGAGGCTTGGATGATGATGCCAAAGGAGCAAAATTGCAAGAAGGCTGAGCACTGTGGGGTAATAAGAGAGGAGGAGGTGTTTGAGCACAGGAAGCACAGAGGAGCTGACTAGGAGGCTGTGAGACAGAAAAAAGGAGAAGCTAGTTCTGGGAAATTTTGTGGACAGGACCAAGCTGTAGGGAATTGTTGAGTCAGGGTTGGGTTTCCGAAAAAACCTGTTTACTTTGTGGGCAAGCCCGGATACAGGCTTTGAATGAGATGGTCCACACAAGTGAATCAAGAAAGGGGCTAAAGTGTTCAGGCTGGCATGTCTCTAACATGGGCAGACTGACTTGAATAGCATGGACATGAATCCCTGGGACTTGCACAACCTGTATGTGCTTACAGGCTGAGGTTCCTTTCCCCTCTTGTATTCACACTGTAGACAGCCAACTAAAGATACCATTCACAAAAAGCCAGGATAACTGAGGGATACTGAGGGAACTTGAGGAGGGACCTGGAGACCTCACCTTAGCGGTTGGTAGCAGAAACCCTAATTGCTCATGTAGTCCCATGGCAAGTCTCAGAGCTGATGGTAAAATGAGCTAGAAGTTTATAACTGATGATGCCTGACTGCCTTCCCTCACACATGCCAACTCTGACATCTGCCACTCCGCTAAAAGGTGGGATGAAAGCCAGGTCAACCCTTGATGTCACTGGGAGTGCAGTTTAGACTAGGGGAATATTAAACCCCAAGCTACTCAGAGCCCACACTGTAAAGAACCCTTTCAGCCTTCCCAGGAAGCAAGCTCTCTCCCTCCTGGGCCATCTCTCCCACCATCTAGAACCAAGAACAGAGAGGAAAAAGGAAGCCGAGATCGATACCTGGTGAGAGGCCTCTGCCGGGTGAGCCAGGGTGCTTGGGAGGTGAGAGGGCAGACGAAGGAGAGTTCCCAGGGAGGAGCAGTGCCGGCCCAGGCAGGGGCCTTCAGGGTTGTGGCCACGCTGCAGTATTTGGGCAAAGGCATCCCAGGCCCTGGGGAGGAGTCCATTTCCTTGGGAGAAAACACCTGAGAACAAGCGGCACTATTATCTGAGTTGCTGTTTATCTGAGTTGCAGCCCACAGCCCAGGAGAGGGCGCTTGGCCGGGGCTGGGCTCAGCTCTGCGGTTTGCGGCCTCTCTGCGGGCGCACCCGGTCCCACCGACGCGCAGGGTGTCCCCAGAATCACCTGCCCGGGGAGGCTCAGCTCAGGAAATAGGGGAGGGGTTGAAAGAGCAAGAGCTGGGATTTCAGAGAAGGATTTAGCTGTAGTAAATCCTTCACAGTCTGCTGGCTGTGTGCTCACTTCACCTCGGTGCTTCAGTTACCGCCCAGGAGATGAGATATGGAAAGCACCTGGCATATTTAAGTAGCTCAACATACGTTAGTTTTTTTCCCCCCATCTCCACCCCAGTTGTAGGGGCTTCGGGGGTAAGACCACACGCCCCTTCGCAAATCGTAGTCCTGGTGACAAACTGACCCCTAACCCAAGCCACAGACTTCCCTCCTAACCCAGTCACCTGCGGGACTAGACCGAGCTGAGAGCCCAGGGCTGTGGCCTCCGTAGACGTGCTCAGAGGCGACAGCTGCCACCCAGGGCCCGAGATACCACTCCGCTGGCCCAGCCCACCACGGCCCTGTTGAGTCTGCTCCTGCCCAAGTCCACAGCTCTGACCCCAAAGGGACTTATCACAGCCTCAAACTCCACCTCAGCCTCAGCCCCTTCCAACAGTTGGAGTTCAAGGCCTCAGACCAACTGACTCCTGGTTGCCTAGCAGGTTGCCATGGATGCGAGCCAGCTGGCCGAGGGCGTGTACTGAGCATGTGCAGAGGGGGGCTGGGGCCTTAGGCCGCATGCGCGGGGCGAGAGGGTAGGGGGTAGTTCTCCGCCTTTCTGGGGAAGGGGTGTTGGCGGGAAAGGCCAGTGCGACCTCAATTCCCCAAAAGCTCGGGCTTCCCCTCTGCCGGAAGAGTCCGTCACGGTGTGCAGCCCTCACGGATCCCAGGAGAGTCTCGTGATGGGGGGAGCTGGTCCCCCAGAGACTCAAGGCTATTGACCTGCCTTCACCCGGTGCGGGCAGGAGGCTGGAGTGGAGGGAACCACTGGGTGGCCTAAGGACTCTAAGCTAGAATTTGTCTTTAGTTTAAAAAAAAAAATAACCAAAAGTGTGGGCATGTTTGTCTGTAACAGACAGGACTGCTGAGGAGCAGAGGTGTAATGATCTTGGGGTGGTGGGAGTGGACAATGGGGACCAAAGGAACAGAAGTCTAGATTCAGCTCTCATTTGAACATCCAGAGGAGGAAGCTGGTATTTGAGGCATCTGACAGTCATTGTGCACTGGCTGTGTGCCCAGCACTGTGTTCAGTGCAGAAGACCAAAAAAGTATGTAGGGACGTTTGTGGTTGTCTCTACCCCATCCATCCCTGCCTTCCACCAGTTCCTGTTTCTGTTGTGGCTCTGTGTGGTTAGGAGAGGCTAACTGTACCCCCCGATTCATAAGTGTCCATCAGCACATTCCATCCCCTGGCCACTAGGGCATGGGCATGTTCCCGTGCCTCTGGAATCAGAATGAATCTCAAAACTTTTGTTGGAAATCCTGGGTTATAGACTTTCTTTTTCCTCCTATACATAAATAAGAAAGCTTGAGGTTCTGGGAGCTTCTGACAGTCTTTCTGGGACACTGAAGCTATTCCCAGAGAGGACAGACCTAAAGAAAACAGGTTCTTGGAACAGTGTTGAGCCCTGCCTGAAGGCGGCCCTACTGCTAGAAGTTAAGGTATGTAAACCAATAAATTCCCTTTATTGGTTACACCAATTTTTATCAGATTTTTGTATCGGTTGCCACCAAAAGCATCCTAACTGATGTCTACCCTCACAGAGCTTAATTTTGCAGCCAGGACTGTTACCCTAAAGGCTGAGGGATTTAGTCTCTGGCTATGAGAGAAGGCTTCCTGAATAAGATAGGTGGGATTTCAATGGTGAAAGGAAGGAGGAGAATATTCCATTCCGTCTTGGTAGGAAGCAAGAGCTAAGACAGAAGGATGCATTTGCAAGACTGTGATTTTCTTTTTGGGGTGGAGGGAATGGGGTGTCATGGGAAAATCAAGTGTGGATATTTGGGAAGGGGCCAAATTGATGGGAGCTTTGAAAACTAAGCAGATAAATGTCAACAATGTCATAGTCGAAAGGAAGTTGTCATGGGGCTTGAGCAATGAAATGACATGAAACACTTTAAGAAAGAATATCAGAGTGATGATAGAGCCAGTTGAGAACAGAGCCCAGGAGGCCTCGGAGTTATCCAGACACAATGTGACAGGATAGGAATAGGAAAATAACACCACCAAATATTTCCTGATGCCTACCTGACTTGAATAACTTTGCTGGGTGCTAGGAATATAGGATGAATAAGACTGACCCCTATCTTCAAGGAGCTTACATTCTACTGAAGACAGAGATAGGTGTGCAAAGATATCAGGAGTAAAGATAGCAGGATAAGAACGGCAAGGAAATATGTGTTCAAAATAAAGGAACAAGTAATAGCTGTGGTGGAAAGACTTCACAGAGAGGTGACAATGGAGATGAATGTGACAGTGTGTTGGAAGTCCTGCCTGGGCTTGGTGACAGAGGGGATGTGGGAGTTAAGGAAGAAGGAAGAGCTGAAGCTCATCATAGGAACAGAAATAGAAACATTTTGAAGGCAGACTCCAAGATAGGGGACATCACTGTCCTTCCCACATTTTCTGGCCTGGAGAACCTGAAGAATGTTGATGTCATGGGCAAAAAAGGAAAAAAAGAGGATAATAAAGTTTAAAAATAATGGCTATGAAAACATTATGTGTTTTCATAATGTTTCACATTATGTTTTCACATAATGTTTTCATTATGTTTCACAAGCACTGTTAATACTGATGATAAACATAAGGGGTAGCTGCTTTTCCTATAATTCTCATTCTGTGGATGAAGAACTGAGAAAACACAGTGGGGATGCAGCAGAGTCAGAATGCAAACGGAGGCAGTGTGACTGTGGAGCCTGCACTCTTAAGCGCAAACTAAGCTACCTGAGGATGTCTGCTGCATGCAGGAAAAAGATGACTCTGAAGTAATTTCAAATGACAACAAGGTTTTGTTAACTACTTTTGCTTTAGCCCCAAGATACTTCCGCATCACATTATGAGTGAGGTATAGATTTCTTGCCAACTCCAAATAATAAAACCCACCAAACTTTGACAAATCCAGGGAGGTTCATTGTGATTGCTTAGCATGAAGCGTCTGCAAAGTGCAGTACAGGAATTGAATAGTCATTAGTCTTACAATACTTTTGTGAGTTTCTCACAGCTGAGACTCTGGCAAAGTGTGCGAGAAGGGCAAGGTGAAAGATATAGAGAATTCTAGGGACTCCTGCTTCCCTAAAGTTCTTGAAAGAAATTACCAAAGGTTAAGAAGTGTTTTCTCAATAAGATAGTTTAGTACATCTGAAACCCAGGTAAGAAATATCCAACACAACTTAGCATTTGAACTATTATCTGCCCACCCAGAGATTCCATTAGGAAAACTATCACATGATGTAAGGGACCACATTTTGTGAAATTATGTTTCTATTTAGAAACACGGAATCAAATGATTCTGAAAATGGGGTCAGTGTGGCGGCTGGTGGCTGCCATTATGGAGGAATCTTTTCCTGGGGTTATTCTTGGCCTCAGCCTCATCAAGGTACAGAAGGGACTGCAAGTAATTAATGTACTTGATTGCGGCTCTGAGGGTTTCCACTTTGCTGAGTCGTGTCTCCAAGTACTCCTCTGGCAGATGATGTCGGAGCTGGGCATAGCCTTCATTGACACATTTCACACGCTGCCTTTCCCGCTCATTCCTTTTCTGGATAAAGGCTGGCCTGTAGGAGTCTTCACACCTTCTGTAATTTGGATAAGGCATTGGGAAGGAGAAGGCGCAGGGTTCCCCATAATCTTCCATGATCAGAGAGTCACTGGAAAAAGGCAGCAATGGCGGGTCTTCAGAGTAAAGAGATGGCACCGGGCCCTCAGGGTACAGGTGGAACATGATCATGGGGTCCAGATAGAAGGACCTGGTCAGTGGCAAGTGGGTGGAATCAGAGGAGACAGGCAGTTTGTCTGGCAGATTGGAGTAGCTTCTATTGTCCATCGTTTCCTCTTTAGCCTGGAAACAGAACCAAGTTTATTAATTTGGCCAGATCAAAAGAGAACAGATATCGACAGAGATTAGAGACTTTTCTGCTTTGATGAATAGTTTCTGAGCTCATTCTGAAAACTTGATGGGGTTACAACATTCTTTGGGTAGGATTTTTGATGGTACACAGAAACAGCATGAAATAACATTGACTTGCCTTGTGAGAAAGTTATTTCCTTTCAGTCCTTATGATTACAAGGATATATCTTTAGTCTGATTGAGAGTGTGTTTTCCATACTACTAGAATGCTTTCTAATCCTCCTCAGATGGAAGCCTTCAACAGGAATAGTATCTAGCTAGAATCTAATAATATTTTACTATTAATTTCTATTTATTGTGAATTATACTGATTTCACATTTACAGTAGTGATACAAAGTCTCTTTTAAAAATAAAGCTACTTGAGTAAAAAATGTAAATTGATTTACAGAAAATAGTAAGTAAATAGCAGTACAGGTGGAACACTAATATAATGAAGATTGTGAAGGTGTATGCAAATACTGATGTTTGGGAAACACTGAAACACCACGATATTCAAATACGTGTTGGAGAAATTACAAACTAGTTAGTGATCATGCAACCTCACAGGCATAGCCTTCTTAAACGATACCTGATATGCCGGGGGCAAAACTGAAAATAAAAATAAAAAAGGAATCATTTGCTCTTAAAAATTCACTGTAAGATTCCCTTAATGAGAAACTCCCCTAACACATTTAAAACATGGTCAATTAACATATTTTTACTTAGAACTTTAAATATATTAAGTGCATCTGTATTTAGGGTTTTTTTTCCATGGAACTTAAAGTATAATACTCTAAGATGTCTCATATCAACACATTCCCTTCTTCTGAATAGGCCTGCATCCAGCTTATTTATTACACTACCATTACTTTTTGCCTTTGACTGTAATAATGTGGTCACAACGGATTTCACAGGAACATTACAGTGTAACTAGTTAACTGGAAGTCAAGGAAGTGCTGTAGGAAAAGAACGTTTTTCTTTCAGTCATTAACATTCTCAAGTTTCAATCTTGGCTTTGCCTCTTCTTAGCTGTGTGTCCTTAGGCAAATTTCTTAACCTTTCTGAGCTCTGGCTTATTCCTATGTCCAACTGAGATATCAACTATTCTGCAGGGTGGCTGTGAGGATTAAATGAAAAAAAAAATACATAATGCACTAGGTATTAGTTCTTTTCCTGTTTCGTTTCTTAACAGATGAATACTTGTGCAGCATCCCTTTCTCACCTGCACCTTATAGAAAACCTGGCCTATATTTTCCCTAACACTGGAAAATCAAACATTGATCTATCCAAAGCACATCTGTTGAGAGATGAAGAACATACCCAAAATGGAAAAGGAAAAGCCACATGAAATCTAATTTTGGGCTTTCAGAAAAGAAGGAAAGGTGGCTTTCTTTTTCCACAAAAAACCCAGCCCTAATGTTTAAGGGCAAGATTAGGTAAACACTGGCACTTGTTTCTCTACCTGAGAAAAACAAAACTCTGCAGGCTGCACTATGTAATGACAGGAGCAGTCTCTAAGCACCAGAAGTCAAGTGCAATAAAGTGTATTACAATTCTTGTGAAAAAACCTATCCTATCAAGTATGGTTACAGAAAAGACAAATGACTCTGGAACCAGAAAGAGCGGTAGGAGATGGGGGATAGCGGATGAGGGGTGGGAAATGTGAGTGGTGGGGAGGGTTATAATGTCATGGTGAAAAAGGCTGAAAAAGGAATAAATGCCAGGAAAAGCTCTTCCTAATAGAAGTGTGGTGGTGAGGGAATGAGATAAGTGCCATAGGTCCAATTAAAAATCAAAACAGAGGAAATGAAAGATTCCAAATTACTGATCCAATGGCCTAAAATAACTAACATAAAATGAAAATCTCTGGATTACAAACTAGCCAAGATTCTGTCAAAAAGAAAAAGTTGCTGAGAAAAAGAGTTGGGAAATTCTCGAGCCAAGAATTCTAGAGGGTAAGAGATAAAGGATGTGTATGGCAGAAGTTGGGAGATGATGGCACAATGGGTATGGAGCCCCTATTACTACATTTCTGAGAACATCAGCACCTTATTTCTGCCTATAGCTAACGAGCCAGAACTGATACAACAGGGTTCCAAAAAGTAAAGCAGATGTCATCAAAGCTAATTACACACAGAATTCTTTCAGTATAGTTCATCCTGACTGATAATTTTAACAATATCTTAAGCCTTGACCCAGATGAAATCTGAGTAATTTGTATACACAACAGGTAATTAATAGTTTCTAGGTTTTAACAAGACGTTGCATAATTCTTGGAAAAAGAGCCTGGTGTCTTTGGAGACACACTGATGAGAAAGCCTTTTCTATTGAGCATTTCCAAAAAGTTCACCAATCAATGTAGCAGCATTTAAATGATCCTTTTTTCAAAGAAGAAAATTTAACAACAACAGTGATAGAATGAAAAAGGCAGTAGCGAAGAGGATCAAGATAGGAAGTCTAGTGGCAGCTGGACATGTTTGTAGACACTGAGTAAAGGTTTTAAAAGAGAGCCACACAGGCTGTAAGTGCTGTGGCTCCAAAGCCAGATACACGCATAGCTAACAAATGCACCTGCCTTTTAGGGAAAATCTCAGGTGTCTGTCTTAGAACTCTTCTGGGAAATAAATGATGAGGTCTTAATGATAAAATTCTAAGAGATTCTAGATGCTCTGCTGAGCATAAAAGCTTCAACTTTCTGAGACATTACAAATATCTAGCATGGAAAAAACAAAAAGCTACAACTGCACATATAATTGAATTACTGAACATTAGGCCTAGAGAAACCTTAGAAATCCTCTTATCCAATCCCTCATAATTGTTGCAGAGCTAGTAGCAGAGCAGAGGTCAGAACCTAAATCTCCTGACTTCCAAACCCAAAAACACTTTCCGCTCCTCCAGATGACTGAATCATCAGCAAAACTGACTCTTTCAACATATAAGCATATTTGATAGTTTAAGATAATGGAATAATCAGATAGCTGAAAAAATTCATCATTTATCAACCGTGCCTAGGGATTTTCTTAAAAACCATGTTTTTATTCTCCCCCACGGGCCACTCTGGAGAAGAGTCTCTTACCTGAATTTTGTTGCCGAGAGGCTGTACTTTGGGCTGAGTCAGACTTAAACTGATTTATAGGTGATCATTTAGTAACAACATGCAAAATAGCTTACAGTTAAACAGAACTGCTCAGTCTGGTTTATCTGTTTTCTCTACCTAATATGTAGATATGACAACATACAACAAAACTAAATAGAAAGCTTTGCTTGCAAAATTGGACTCTTGTAACAAATTCTTTTATAAAAAGAATGCCCCCCCATTTATCTGAGTTATATAATCTTATATCAAAATTATTTATGGAAAATATCTTTAAGTAATAATCTCATAATGTGCAAATATTCGCCAATATTTTTAAAACAGAGATTAAGGCCATAACCAGGAAGCTCAGTATGAACCTCCATTTTATTATATATCTATTAAAAATTTTTTCCTTCTAAATAAACTATTTTCAGAGCAGTTGCAGATGCACAGCAAACTGGGCAGAAAGTACATAGTTCCCATTTACCTCCTACTCTTACATATATGCACATTCTCCTCTACTACCAATAAGCCAGCCCCAGAATGATATATTTGTTACAAGTGATAAACCAATACTGACACATCATTATCACTCAAAGCCCATGGTTTACATTACGGTTCACTCTTGGTGTTGTGCAATTCTATGGAATTTGACAAATGTATAATGACATATTATATACTGATTTTTTTTTTACTCCATAGTTTTGCCTTTTTCAGGATGTCATATAGTTGGAATCGTATAGTAAATAGCCTTTTCAGATTGGCTTCTTTCACTTAGTAATATTTATTTAAGGTTCCTCCACATATTTTTGTGGCTTGATAGCTCATTTCTTTTTAGCACTGAATAATATTCCATTGTCTGAATACCATATGATATCACTTACATGTGGAATCTAAAATATGACACAAAGGAACTTATCTATGAAACAAACAGATACACAGACATAGAGAACAAATTTGTTGTTGCCAAGGGGGAGGGGAGTGAGGGAGGGATGGATTGGGAGTTTGGGATTAGCAGATGCAAACTATTATAATATAGAATGGATAAACAACAAAGTCCTACTGTATAGCACAAGGGACTATATTCAATATCCTGTGATAAACCATAATAGAAAAGAATATGAAAAAAAGTTTTTCAAAAATTATTTTTATTGTTACATTTCAAAGAGGACATAGGAAGAAAAAAGCCAGTTATCCAATAACTGCTATACCTTTCAGAGGGAGGCAACTGGAACTCCAGTGCTAGTTCAAAGCTGTACACACTACAGCTCAAACAGCTGCCTCTCAACCTGACTGGAGATGCTGACAAATATGTGTACGTCATCAATCCAGGGAGGCTTGGGTTTAAAAGAAAATTTCTTTATTGCAAGTGTCCAAGTCCTTAGGATTCATCCTTAAAGATACTAGAAGAAGATGAGAAAGACCACACACCAAGACTATGTTTATTCATTAGAGTAAACTAGTGAATGGCCACTTTGTTCTAGGATGCATTGCATCAGACATCACAGTACATGAAGAAAACCTGCATCTTATGAAGAGCCACCAGGCATTTCAGATCCAATTTACCATGAAGTGCAGCCACAGGCCAACCAGATGTCCAGATAATATAGTCAGTGCAAAATTCAAATAGGTAAGTCAGGGCTTTGATGAGGCTGGCAGACTTCAAAATATAAATGAAACTTGAAAATAAAAGGCAAAGTCTATTTACAACGATTGTTTAGTAAAGTGACTTGAGAAAAGTTATGTTAAGCACTTCCCACGTATCCCTCCCCTACTCTGCCAAAAACAAAAACAAAAACAAAAAACACCACACAAAAACCACCCCTGAAAATTATCTTGAAAACCAAATTAAAACTGTGTGGTAAAAATGAGAGTGCTTTTTCCAGGTAAAGGACTTCAAGATAATTTACAGGCAGACATATTTTTATTAGTAAAAGTCACAAATAGGAAAAGGCTAACGTTGTTTGAGGCATGTGCTTTAAAAAATGCCTCCATTAATACATTAACAAGAAAAGAAAATACCAAGCATGTTTTTGTTTCCAGTTTCGAATTTTCCAGCAAGAGTTAGTGAAATCAACAGGGCATTAACACAAAACCCAGGAAAACTCAGTCAATTTTTTCCCATTGTCTGCCTTATTTCTTTCTAGTCACCTTGAATTCGATTCCCAATTAGCTGAGGACAACATGACGGTCAAAGACGGATTTTCGCTGCTCTTGAACTTGAAGCTTCCAACGCTGCTGGGCATACTCTACTTTATTCAGCACATTGGCTCGACTGCGGGAGCGGGCCAGCACATCGTGGGCATTTGCAAAAGGCTGGTGATCCTGAAAGTCCAGGAATGGAGAACATCAGACAGTATGGTCCGTGTAAAACACACACACACAGTTATCCAGCCACGGAGATAGGAGCAGCTGGCCTTTTCAAACAGACCATCTAATTTGGCCAAGCACTCTTAGGCACTCAACTACCAGAAGCAGGATGAACTCAACTACAGAAATAGTTGGTTCAAGTAAAATAAGCGATGAGGAGGTATTTGTGCAAAGTTCCCATGAGTCACCATTTCCAAAGACATTCCCTTAAGAAGTTGGGATCAAGACAAAGACAGTGGTCATTTACGTTAAAGAGAAGCCCGTCTTGATGAGTGGTGGAAAGAAAATCTATTTTGCATGTTAATATCTATATGTTACAGATACAGAAAGTGGGGCTTTTCCTTGTTTTATTCAATACTATATAGCTAATCTGTGGCTGAGGAAACTCCTATCTTTTAATTTCCTGACTCCCATTATATTAGAATTTTTACTTGCCAGCTTGGGGCCACATTCATCCTGGGAGATGAGTTGACTGGATCCTATCTTGGTTGGTTTCCATCTCTTCTTATGCCCTCAACACCTACATTTCCCCCCTTCCCCAATCTGTAATGAACAGAGACATAGCTCAAGTGCTACAATTACCCTCTAGTGCTAAGTACAGTAAGGAATTATTACTTCAGCATTTCTATTTGGTAAAGACTTGAATCTTTCATTGCTAAGCACACAGTAGCTTCCATGTTAGCTGCCGCATTAGGAAAGAGGCCATTGAAGGGTCACCCAGGTATCTGTAGAAAACGAACCTGTCCTGGTCAAAGTAAACCAAAGCCACTGATGTTTGTAGTCGTTACACAGGAAACCACCATGCTTATCTATCTATGCATGAGATATAAACACAGCTGCCTAAATGACAAAAGGCATTCAGTACTAATTTATTGCTTTTGTTTGCCTTTTCCTTGATCTCTTTTTCCTGAACCTGGGTTAGCAAAGCTCCTAAATGTTCCAACATAGGATAAAAGTCACAAGTCAGACCTCTTAAACTTCGCCTCTCAGAAAGAAACAATATTGTTTTGCATGTTTGCAAAAGCTCTATTATATACCCAGGGCAGCAGTCAGCGTGTCTATGGAAAGCTATACATAACTGCATAACTATATATATAAAACTATAACTAAACAGTGTTTTAACACCTGGTCTTCTTTTTAGAGCAAGATATTTATATAATGTCAACATTTCAAAGACATCAAAGAGTTTTCTGTAAAGAATCTATCCCTGCCTTCTTTACCAAAATTGCTTCAACTTTTCACTTAATTTAGGTAATATCTTGTGCAAACCCCATTCTTTTTTTAACCTTACAAATGAAAATAATAAAAACAATTCCACAAAGTTCAAATGTTTCAAAGATGTAAGAAAGAACATTAGGAAAGAGGAAGGCAGCTAATGTTGTTAGATTACTTTATTTCCCATGAGGAAATAAACCGATCCAAGGTCATCTAACAAATGAGCACAAGCACAAGTCTTAGCTTCCCTAAACGTGACTTTGTGTCATATCTTACCACACTGATTTTGTTCAGGTAGATTAAAATGACACTATCCGAATATGGTGCTTCAGTGAACTTGTATATAAAACATTATTACCATTGGTTTGTTTTGACATAAACAAGACTGGGAAGAAGGATGTACTTTACCAGCAGAGTGCTTCTCAATTTCATAGTCCTGTTATCTACTCTTCAAGGTAGGGAGAGAAACATCTTCTTAAGGAACAAATTTAAAGGACTAAACACACAGTTAATCCTTCTGGCCTATTCTCCATCCATCAGAACAAGACTGAACTAGCTGCTCATAGTCATGGATGCCAGGAGAATGCAAATAGAGATTTACTCTTTATATATGTTTGCACTTTTTATACCTGATAAAATTACAATAAGTACAAAACATGTTTTAATGTAATGCTTTGATAATAGTAATGATGTGTCGTGGATATATAACACAGTAACTATTGTGACTACTTGCAGTGAGCTTCTTAACTATTTGTGCTAACTCTCACTTGATTCAAAGTACTTTACACCCAACAAAAATGGAAAAAATTAAAACAGAATTTAACTGAGAATTTAACAAAAGCATGTATAAAGGCACATAAAGAGTGAAGAACTATCATCTTGGATTAGCAACAATTGTAGGAATTTAAATTGAACTTCTTTTTGAACGGAGTTGTTACCATAAATTCATACCTGTGTTTAGAAAACCTCTCTCTGCCCAGAATCAATTTAACTGATATGCAAACTGATATGCAAAAGTCAGCCAGGCCTCTCAAGACAATGTTCTCACATGATCGACATGCTCACAGAATCAATCTCTGGTGAACAAAATGGTTACTAAGCACATGGTCCCATCAAATGCCTTTCCTACATGTTTTTATCTATACATTTGTACATCCATTTCTTTTATGCTCTGTGTATTACATTAATATTGTCTATCCCTAAAATCAGGAACCAGATATTTAATGCTATAAGGGATGTAGTTTAAGTCACAGTTTCTGTCTCTGTGCCTATAATGAAATGGTTTAGGTGGCCTTTGATACATAACGTCTTCATATGTTAGTAGTTCTCACTGGGGGTGATTTTGACCCCCAGGAACATTTGGCAATGTCTGTGGGCATTTTTGATTGTCATGATTGGGATGAGGCTTCTAGTGGGCAGAGGTCAGGGATGCTATTAGATATCATGCAGTGAACAGGACAGCTCCCTACAACAAACAATCATCTGACCCAAAATATCAATGGGAAATGTTGTATGTGAATGAAAATTAACATGGGAACAGTATTTGAGACTCTAATTCTTCCTGATATGGAAAAGTTACTTGTTATGTGTTGGTTGAATTACTAAAGGAAGCAAAGGGAAAGAGGCAAAGAGAGGTATTTCTATGAAAGTTCTTCACAAAACAAAAATGAAATCTTGCTCAAATTAAGCTGAGTATTCAATATCGATATTCATGAGACAAGCAGGCTCTGTAATTATAACTTAAGCCATTCATTCGGGATCCCCTTTCTCATCTTTTACCAATGGGTCCACAAGCCATTCCAGAGTAAAAGGACTTTTGACTGTGACTGGCAAGGCTTTATCCTGGCTTTGGCTTTTGGAATTGATTCTTGACACTCTACTAAATTTTATTCACTTTAAGAAACATAGTTCAATAAAGTAATCCAAAATAAAAAGTAATTTCTAAAGAATATTATATATGTAATAATGAAATAGTGGAAAATTTGGAAACAAACCCAAACAGGATAATGACAAAACAAACAATATAATTCTCTAAGCCATACTGAATAACAAATTTGCGGACTATGTCAATTTCTCAAAGGTTTTGAGTGAAGTAATATTATTATATATACAAATATGAATGTGTTTTAAAGATAGGAAGAGAATCAGGAGTGATGGTTTTATTTTTCTCTAGAGTTAAAGATCACAGATTTTTTTAAAGAAGGAGGAAAACAGGAAATATAAAACATCAGCAGGTTATCAAGCTGTACTTCATTAAGTAAAGAACGTTATGGTTTTCATGCTTCCCTTCACTAAAGCCTCTTTGCCTTTTAAAATATTTGGTGATGTTGACAGGAAAGGTGTTCAGGCAGGAGCCTAGGAAGAAGACTATCTCCGATGCTTTTCTCAATGTAAACAGGAAAAGGCAATGAAAATTGTGCCCTTGGTAGTGAAAGGCAAAGCCTTGTACAGCACACTCACCAAGGATCATCGGTCAAACCACCACATTTATGGCTTTACAGAGCAATTTCCTCATAAAGAGACATACACTAATATTAGAATTGTCTTTAGGTTCTCTGGTGCAGGATCTGCTCCAGATAGGGACATCTATTATGTAACTACTCTTTACATGCACTTTATATCAGATGATGACAGAGACTGGCCTTGAACACCTAGGGCATGCTAAGAACTTACCCCAACATCATCATCGCTCTGTATCAATTGTGAATGTCCAAATAGGCGTCTCTTCAGTATGGGCTCAACCAGAGTAAGATATACCATGTACAGAAGCAGAAGGCCCAAAATGGAGAGATAAATTATAATGGTAACCTAAAGGAAATTGAAAATAAGTTGTATCTCTGTTCAAGCCAAGAAATCTGAATTTTGTATAATAATGCTGAAGCCATAGTGAAGACTGATCTGTTAAGCATATAGGATTTCTATACAAACCAGATTCCAACATAAGAAATAAACTCAACTCTTCACCAAAGTATTATTTATAGAAAAAAAGGAAAGAAAGCATTTTGCCTTTGGGATCTTTTCACGAGTCTTCAAATTCCATCTTCACCTACTGCTAATCATTTGCACCACTGCTAGCACAGCAGTTCTCTTTTTTCACCTGAATACAGTGTCCTAGATTCAACAGCACTGCAGTCAAGACCACTTTCTGTTAGGATCCCTAACAGAAAATGTAATTCAGATGAATTTCAAGAGCATACTGCTTTAGATCAATTTAGATATACAAAAATACATTTTAGGCACATGATTTTCTTGAGATCTTAATTCGTGTGGTATCAAGCAGTACAGTGTGACACCTCCCACTAGAATGGCTACAGTTAAAGACAGTCAATACCAAATGTTAGCGAGGATGTACAGAAACTTAACCCTCATATGTTACTGGTGAGAATGTAAAATGGTACAACTACTTTAGAATACAACCTGGCAGTCTCTTAAAAAATTAAATATAGGGCTTCCCTGGTGGCGCAGTGGTTGAGAGTCCACCTGCCGATTCAGGGGACACGGGTTCGTGCCCCGGTCTGGGAAGATCCCACATGCCGCGGAGTGGCTGGGCCCGTGAGCCACGGCCGCTGAGCCTGCACGTCCGGAGCCTGTGCTCCGCAACGGGAGAGGCCACAACAGTGAGAGGCCCGCGTTCCGCAAAAAAAAAAAAAAACTTACCTCTCTTAGGAATCTACCAGAGAGAAAGGAAAACATACATCCACACAAAGACATGTATGCAGATATTGATGACAGCATTATTCATAAGAGTAAAAATCTGGAAATAAATGTCCATCAACAGATGAATGGATAAACAAAATGTGGTATGTTCATGTAATAGAATGCTATTCAGTAATAAGAAGGAATTAAGTACTGATACATGCTACAACATGAAGAGACATGTTTTTGAGGTCTGTGTGAAAGAAACCAGTCACAGAAGACCACATATTTTATGATTCCATTTATATGAAATGTCCAGATCTGTAGACACACAAAGCAGAATAGTGATTGTCTAGGGCTGGGGGTAGGAATGGGATTAACTATAAATGGTTATGAGGGATCTTTTTGGGGTGATGGGCATGTTCCAAGACTGGATTTTATTTTTATAATTTTTTTTTAGAAAGTTATCAGGGCCAATACCCAAAGTATTTATTTATTTTTATTTTTTGGCTGCGGGGCATGTGGGATCTTAGTTCCCCAACCAGGGATTGAACCCGTGCCCCCTGCATTGGAAGTGCAGAGTCTTAACCACTGGACCACAAGGGAAGTCCCTAAAACTGGATTTTAAAAATTGGTTTTAAATTTGCTAAAATTTATAAAATTGTACACTTATAATGAGTGACATTTGGGGTATGGAAATTATACATAAAAATTTTGTTTAAAAATAGAAAAGTACAATGATGGTTTCTCTATGGGACAGTACCCTGCTGGAGCAGGAGCTCTCCACAGGGTCAATCACAACAGGAGTCTTTGTAACTGGCATAGCTGAGCACCCCAGATTCCCCTGAGGCTTTTTTTTTTTTTTGCAACAGGAATGGGGACCTCCATATAAAAAAATTGGGGAGAAGAACTATTAGCCACCATAATAAAGTAACTGAACTCATTAGAGGTCCAAATTGTGATGAGTGATCTACATTCCATTTCCTATAAAAGATAAAGAAAGGAAATCTTAAAATCTAGAAGTGATGTTTTCTAGGATAGAGCAGTCACTCTATATATAACTTTTTCTAAGGGTTGAGAGGGCAGGAAGAAGAAGGTCTAATCATCCTGCTTTCTCACTAATCTTTGGCGTACATGGCCCGCAGAGAAGCTGGAATGTCTTTCTGGGAAATGCTAATTATACTTAGGGCTTTTTTTGTGCCATTTCACATATCACATCTATCTAAGGTATCCTAATTAATGCACAAGGCATCTCAACGAGGCAGGCGGAGAGCAGGCCCATTGCTCCTTTTAGGGTGCGGGCTGGGGATGAGAAAGGAGGGGGTAAGAGGGTGCTGGGGAACAGGATGGAAGAGCAATAGTTTAGGTAACTAAATAGATTTCAAATGTCCAAAATTTTCTTTCTTGTCTAGATACCAACAAAAACTGTTCCAGAAGCAGAAAAGATGGATTATTGTTTTTTTACCTTGATCGTAACAGAACTTCTCTCCTCATATTTGCATTCACAGCGTAGACAGTATGCTTCTACATCAGGCCCCCGCACAGGCATGGGGTCCACAACATGAAGGCAATCGCTGGAAAAACAAAGATAAAATACTGCCTAAACCTAGCTGGATTTTCTACTTGCACTGATCAAACCTTTCCTGAAATCCGGAATAATCACTGAACTTTCCCAATGAAAGAATGAATATAAGGAACGAATAATCAGTAAAGGAAGGGAAATCATTTCCTCTCTAAACATTAGCAATTTGGTAAGCTTTAACAGTCTAAGAAACCATAAAGACACATATGTAGCAGCTATTTTCAAAAGTGCTATTTATAGTTAAAAATGGGAAAAATCCCAAATGGGACTGAAAACTACGTAGCAGATCAAGTCATATTTAGACTTGTTCATTTAGCGAGTAAAACTGCCTTAAATGATTTAAAGTGACCTGAAGCATTATTCAAATATGAGATTACCTCTTTTATGAATTAACTAATATCATCTAAACTGCCACAGTGTGGTATATGAATGGCTAATCACACATAACAGTTGGTAAATTATGAAACTCTAAAAGCTGAACACCAGAGTAAGAAACAATTACTTTTCTTAATGAGCAAAAGTCTATTTAAAAAGCATGGAGAAGTAGGATTAGGACAACAAAAATATTTTAAAATGAAAACACTACCTGGCAACAGTACCTAAAAATAATAACAGGCTGAATGTTTTTGTGGTTGGACGTTTATCTTCTCCCCATTTTCCAGGTCACTTATTTACAGCTTATGATAAGCAAGCCTAACCAAAAAATCTTTTTCCCAGAAATCTGTCAATTCCAGGAAATAATTAAATTCTTACTCTCCCCAGCTATTAAGAGCCCACTACCCTGATCACCTTCAGCAAAGGCAGGCAAAGCTTTGTTGTCCTCCTGCTGGCTGCTGGGCAGTTTCCCTCCCTCTTGTGCTCTCTCCCTTAGGCATGTCTAGCTGCCTCACGAACTCTACCACAGCATCCTGTCTCACTCCACCCACCTTCTTGAGGGCATCCAATGCTCCAGGCTGATTCTTTCCCTTTGCCCTATCAGAACGTACTTTTTTTGTGTTCTGTTCCCTCTGAGCTGTGGCATAAGAAAGAAAACCCAAAATGGCATAAATGATAAAAGTTCAGTCAGTTTTCCTTAACAGGTAATTTAATTTTAACAAAGGTAGTAATGAAAGAATAAGTCTCAACTGGCAGACTTTCAAATAAGAGTAAGGTCCCACAATTCACACCATACAAGTGTGTGATATTTGTTCCAAATGTACAGAAGACCAGGAACGTATCCAGCTGGATGCAGGCATAAAATAGGCAGAGGAAGCTAAATCCCACTGCAGGGGTATCTAGCTCAGAATCATAGAAGTCATCCAGCCCAGCACTCTCGGAGAGGTCACCTGTACAGGTCAGAGTAAAGTAATAGGTAAAAGGACCAGAATCCCGGGCTCCTGCCTCCTAGGACAGGCCCCCTGTATCTCTCTGAACCTCAGGAAAATGAGACTTATCTCCTACTTAGTTTTCTATTTCAGCTTCAGAAGCCTTAGTAACAATACTTAAGAATTACTTGGGGAATTTAAGTGTTGAGTATTTCTTTGGAAGTACAAATACAGTTTAATAACAAGGAGATTTTGAGTGCTGTGCAGGATGGGAGAGGAAGCAGGAAGGTTGGTTCTGGCTGGCCACTCATTGTAAACACAGAACCCAGATACAGAACACAACCACTTCAGGAACTAGGCGACACCTCCCCCTAGTGCCAAAAGGAGGACATTATCAGCTTCAAATCATGCCTCAAACACAAACCAGAGAACTCAAAATTTTTCTTAAGTTAGACAGTATAGGTCAATGAAGAATTAAAGCTAACAACTGGACAAAATGGAGAGGCCAGGAGGTAAAAATATATACAGGGTCAGATAAGATATTGGAAGCCTCGCAAAGCCATAACATCTTGATTAGTCATAACTTGCCTACCCTTCTAAAGCCAGTTAAAAAACTTTCAGTGACATCTGTGAACCTATCCCTAGTAAAAGGCTAAGCTGCAGGAAGGAAGCAAGGGAGAGAGGGAAGAAAAATTCCAAAGCAAGCCTAGTTTTCAACTGTTTACTTTCAAAGCTCCCTATTTTCACCAATAACCAGGGATAAATGATATACGGTTCTCTGTGAACCTGGAAAAACAAAAAGTCAGTGAAAAGGTTAGTGCTAAACACTTGAATAGTGAGTTCATTTGCCACTCAAGTAACAGGCATCATATTCTATTACTGATAATAAACTGATTGTAAGTGCTCAATATATTTGGAAAATTTATAGGAATAACTTATTTGAGTTTTCTTTTCATATAAAGTAACTTGCTGATATAAAACCTAGAAGAATAGCTAAATCACTGTAGTATGAGACAATTTAAAGTAGAACACAAAAGCTCACAAGAAGTTCTCAAGAATATACTCACCAAATGTCGGATTGAACCTAAATGCACATCATGGGAAGAACAGACAATGACATCAGAAAAGCTAAACATGCTCAAAGCCTGCCTTTTTTTACTCAAAGTCAGCCTGGAATATTGTAACAGAATGAATTTAATTCTGCTTTCAAACTTTCGGGGCTATTTAGCTGTGAAATCGGGCACATGTGAAAGTACAGTACATTTGGAGCTATTTTTCTTCTAGGCCTATCCTGGCAACCTTCCATTACAAACCATAAAACGTCCCAGTCCAGAGTAAGGAGCCCACCTATCCTGCTACAAAATAACTGCTTCCCAATCATTTTACGGCACATGTAGAAAAAGCTATTATTTGTAAGGTCCACTGGGATAAACAGAGAAGGCTGCTGGTGGCTAGCTAGTCAGGATCCCAGTCATCACAGGCCTACTTGATTATATGCCAAGGGCTGAAGGGATCAATGACTTGGCACACCTATAACCTATTAATAGCACACCAATTGGTAAACTCTGATATTCATGGCTCATTCCCATTCCTTCCTGAGCCTGTTGACACTTTTAAACATAGTCTCCTATATCTGACAAGATATCATCAAAACCTACAAATTGTAAAAGCTCTGACCCAGATAAATGAGGCTTGCTTACCTTCCACTGAGAAGCAAGAGGGAGGACCAAAATTTAAGGGGACACAGAAGGGTAGCTATGGGTAGTTTGGGTGCCACAAACTCAGCCCCATCCCAATGTAAAAGCCTCCCTGCCTGGGGATTTTGGCTACATTCTTTTAGGCCTACATCATGCACTCAGGGCCTTACTCTCACTTTTTCAAATAGAAATGGAATTCAACACTTTTGCTTAAAGAGAAAACAATACATTGGATGAATATCCAGGGCTAACAGTGGCAACCAAAGAAAGAAATTTGACAGGTAATTCAGTAATCCAGAATACTTACCAGTCTTTTTGGGATATGTTCTTATTATAAATACGCCCAGAATTATCTTTATAGGGAGGACAGATACATTTACATCGGACATCCTCAGAATTCTATAACCAAAATAGAAACTTGTTGACAGTTCATCATCAATATTTTTAAAAACTGCAACTTACACATTGTGCTAAGCATCCCCGCCAAGTATTCTAAAACCATTCATTTAAAATTTTAAATAACTGTGAGATATACAAGTTTTTAAAAGCCATTGGTAATGCTAATGAATGATTATATACTACATAAAATTATTTTGAAATAACATCTAGTATCTGTGACTTGTTAATCACATTTTTGTGTCACATGACAATCAAATTGTGCTAATGTTATCACCATCTACCTGCTAGTAGAAAGACGAGGTAGACAGACAGCTGCGCCTGCAGATAAGAATGCTGATTACAGAAGGATGGGGAAATATCAAACTAAAAATTACTCACAAAACAAATCACAATTCTTCTACTCACCATCCTTCCACCCTTTGGTAGAAAGGTATTGCTATGGATAAAATGGGTTGGGCCAGAGTCCTATAGAACGGATGAAGTTTTGGAGGCACTTAGCTACAATTAGAAAGGAAGTACTGGGTTGGCCAAAAAGTTCGTTCGGTTTAAAGTAAAAATAAAACACATCTTCTTCATTTTCACAGAGAACTTTATTGAACATGTCCACTAACCGAACGAACTTTTTGGCCAACCCAATACATAAGGGAAGTAGTGTGAGTGTAGCTGAGATCAGTTTGGTCTACCCTTCCCAGGAAACTTTGCTTCTAATCCCTGGGAGACAGAGAGGACAACTACTGATAAAGCAAGTTTCAAGAAGTGGAGGAAGGGGTGACTAAATTTATGAATAGAGGGAGTAGGAGATGCTTCCCCAACAAAGGGGAATCTAATCTGAGAAGGCAGCAGCTCATTAGTCTCCAGAGGACCAGGTCCAAAACTCCTATATATGGTGGTATATCTGGCAGAGTTGCTAATTCATTTACTCATTGAGCAACTACTTAGTGAGCATCTGTCCTGTGCCAGAACTTGTGTACAATGAGGTGGATTCAGTTAAGTGTGAGACATGGTTCCTGCCCAGAATTAGGACATGCCCAAGTAAAGGAGACTGACAAGTACATGGTTACAATATACCACTTAGAGTGATGACAGAAGATATGCAGAGGCTGCCAGCAGTGTTTTGAAAGTCAGGAGACTTGCCGTTGCCCCTGTTTCTGGAGGGACATAGGGAAGATTTCAAAAAGAACCCTTGACCTAAACAACAAGGATCTATTGTATAGCACAGGGAACTAAACTCAATATCTTGTAATAACCTATAATGGAAAAGAATCTGAATTACTTTGCTGTACACTTGAAACTAACATAGCACTGTAAATTAACTACATACTTCAATAAAAAAAGAACCCCTGACCAAACCCCCCCTGATCTGTATACTTGTCACCCATCTTTCCCAGCCCCTATATTTAAAGGTATTATAGAGTAAAGCTCCAATTTAAAAAAGAAAAATGTCATTCTGTTTTCCCATCACATTAATGTGCAGGCCATCTGTTTTCCCTAGTAATGAGCTAGCTCATCAAGGACAGGTCTGGAGGGTATGGGCACGAAGGGGACTAGATAGCAGCATGAGGGGGACCAGAAGGGCCAAGAAATGGAGCAGGGGAGAAGGCCACAACCTCACCTCTCCTGTAGTTTGGATCCTCCCTTACCCTCTAAATTATCAAGAAGAGAGAAGGCAAGAAAGGGGCCAGGAGGTCCTGGAGGGAGTCAGGTGAGGATATGAGGCCAGTGAGAGAGACTCCTGTAGGTCGTATTGAGAAGGAAGGCTGCCAAGAGAAGTAAGTTCCCACAGTGGGAAGGGATGAGTTCAGGGGTGAGTTGAGAGGAGTTAGTTCCTAAGAGGGAAGACAGCTGTGAGATGCGGGCTTCCTATCATTTTGGCCTGGGGAATTGGGGCAGTGGTCTGTGAAGCCGGTGGAGGGCGGCGGTGGACTGTCAGAGCTCAAGTGTATTAAGTTAAAGGCTCTTAGAGTTGGAAAGGCTGTCAAGTTTGCGGGAGCGGGGGTGCTGTCGGGGCTGGGAAGGGAAATTCAAGGAGGCGGAGATGCTGTCCCGACTCTGGGCGCCGTCAGGGCCGGGTGGGGCTGGGGCGGGGTGTCAGCTCCGCGGGTGGGAGGGGTGCGGGCGGGGACCGTCAGACAGCTGGAGCAGGGAAGGCTGGACTGCTCCCTGGCCGTCGGGAGGGTTCCGGGTGGTAGTCAGGGCTGTGAAGCTAGGGGTCGGGCTGTCAGGGATGGGAGAGGACTTGGGTGGGACGCAGGTGGACAAGGCCGGAGGCAGGGGAAGAGCTCCGGTCTGGGGCGAGCGCGGGGCGGGACTCACCTTGGCGGCGTCCGACAGCTGCACTAGCAGCAGCACCGAGAGCGCCAGGCAGGACAGGCTGAGCATGGAGCCGAGACGAAGGAGGCCGGCCCACAGGGTCGCCATCGCTGCCAGCCCCAGCAGTCCCCACAGCCGGAGCCCCCGAGACCTGCTCTCGGTCGGGCTCCGGCTCGGGCTCCGGCTCTTCCGCCCGCACTTCCGTCTGGGCCCTCGCGTCACGGGCCGCGCCGGGTCAGCTACGAAAACCATTCGCCCCGGAAACGGTTCCCGGTGCGAAGGCCGGGAGGCTGCGCGGTGCCCCAGGAGCAAAGGCGGCCTCTCGGGGGCGCAGCGTGGGTCCGGCGGAGCTTTGAGGTGATAGGCCATCTTTCCCCGGCACCGAGGCTGCGGGGCTGTGGGCCGCCAGTGCACTAGCGGGTCCTCCAGCCCAGGGAGGACCCCCACCCCCACCCCCCAGCAAGCCCGGGCTGTCAGCGGGGGGGCGGGGCCAGAGCGACCCCTGCGAGGCCGGAGCAGTTCGTTGCCGGACCCAGAGTGAGCCTAATAAGCCCCAGGAATTGCTGAGAGGCGGCCCGTCCCGGCCGGCGCCGGCGGGGCGGGTGTGAGGCGTGGGGACAGGTATGGGACTGGCCGAGCCATCGCTTCCCGGGATGCCCACCCCCAGTCAGAGGGTCGAGAGGTCCTCTCTGGCACTTTGGGTACTGACCTGCGGCCCACTCGCATCCCGGACCCCACTCCTCGCGAAGTTGCTAACAGTCTGTGAGCTGCCTTCTTGGGTGTGGCCTCCGTTTGGGGCTCCCCGCTTGCCTCCCACTGGGGGTCTGACCGCCTAAGCCCAGCCTGCCGCCAGGAACTGGGAAACAGCGGAGGGGCTGGGCTGGGCCAGGCCTGCCTCCGGAAGGTGTGGAGTTGGCGAGAGAACCGCCCTAGTAGCCTCCTCCGTCCACGATTCCAGAAGGTGGGGGATCGCGGCGCTACAATCCTATTCAAGGTGGCTGGTCCCCTAAGTCAGAAGCCGGGGAGCACTGACCCATCCTTCCCAGAGCGGGTCATCCTGAAGGGTAATTTAGGATAACCTTGGAGATGGCATAGTGTCTCCAATTAAAATATTTTTCAGTTAGTAGAGACAGTGGGGTTGTAGTGGAAAGGATGCAGGGGCTCATCATAACTTCTACGGATTTTTTGAATGACCTTGGTCCAAACACTTCCCTTTTCTGGTCTCAGTATGAGGTGACTGAACTCTTACCTATGGATTTCAAATTCTGCTTTCATGGAATACCCCGTGTTTCCTTTCTCTAAGCAAAACTCAAAAGGTGGTCTTTTCCTAGTTTGTGGAAATGTTTAATTAACGGATAGAATTTTCTCAATATTTTTCTCCCATGTGATTCTTGTTGATGCTAGACTCTAACACAAGGTGTCTGATGCTACGCCAAATATTTTTAGCCCCTTTCAGTCCCACATGGCAAGTGGTTCCCGGTCCCAACCAGAACCAGAATGGCAGGACTAGATGACTTTTCACCAAGGCCCCTCCAGGCTGCCTTCTGAAGATGCTGTTACGTTAGTTAATTATCAGGTTTTCTTAGCGGGTGTCCTGCTGGCCAGAGGACAATCTGGAGACACCAGGGGTCAAATGTGTCTGACTGTGATGCACTTGTGGATTTGTGATTGCTAAAAGCTGTCTTATCAGCAAGTTTGAGATCAGTTTTGGGTTAGTTGTCTAGGTCTAGCATCTGAAGGGAGTGATTACTCTTTGGCTGAAACCTCACAGGCCTTCCCGTTCTTCAAAATTGTTCTCAGGGCCTTGACTCGGGGTACAGAGACCTAGAGGAAATATATAATAGTGCCTCACCAAGTACACTCAGTCTGGGCAGAAGTTTAGAGTTACACTGTCAGATATTGTAGTCACTAACCACATGTGGCAATTGAGCACTTGAAGTGTGACTGAATTGAGATATGCTGTAAGTGTACAATATACTGAATCTTGGGCTTCCCTGGTGGCACAGTGGTTAAGAATCTGCCTGCCAATGCAGGGGACACGGGTTCGAGCCCTGGTCCGGGAGGATCCCACATGCACGGAGCAACTAAGCCCGTGTGCCACAACTACTGAGCCTGCGCTCTAGAGCCAGCGAGCCACAACTACTGAGCCCGTGTGCTACAACTACTGAAGCCCATGCGCCTAGAGCCCATGCTCTGCAACAAGAGAAGCTACCGTGATGAGAAGCCTGCGCACCGAAGAGTAGCCCGCTGCAGCTAGAGAAAAGCCTACGCACAGCAACGAAGACCCAGTGCAGCCAAAAAAAAATATATATATATATATATACTGAATTTCAAAGACAATATGAAAAACAAAATATCTCAATAATGTTTTTATATTAAGGTTGAAATATTTTGGATGCATTAGGTTAAATGTTATTAAAATAATTTCACTTGTTTCTTTTTACTTCTTAAACGTAGCTACTAGAAAATTTAATATTTATATTAGATATAGCTGTTCTAGAATATAGGATGTTGCTGCCTTGAGTAGAGTGACTGTAATAAGATGGTTAGTTGCCTGGCTAGAGTCTGAATGAAGACTCAGGCCTGGGTAAGGAGAGGGGTGACAGAGTTGAACTGGCACAGCTAGAGCCAAAGGTTTGAGGTTGGGGGGGTATATGTCACTAAACAAGGAATGTAATTCCAGGTGACACAGTGGAAGTGGAGGAGTCAGTTCTTGTTCTGCCCTGCTCATGCCTAGATAACTCTTACTTTCCCCTTAGGTCAGGAGTCTCTTCAACTAGAAAGCCTTCCCTGACTTAGGTGCACTTCCATCTGTATTTGTGCAGATCTGTTTCCAAACTTAACCCATTAGGATAAAATTATGTTTTCATATCTGCCTCTATACTCCCAACCTCCATCAAAATTTTGCAAACTCTTTGAGGGCAGTGGCCTTGTTCATTATCTTTGTACCTGGAGACTGGGACAGAGTAAAAACCAATAAATGTTTGTGGGGACCTGGAAAAGGGAAAAGGAATGGGAGAGGCTCCTCTGGTCAGTCTCCAAATATCAGGTACCTACTTGAATCCCTACTTTATTCCTTTATTATTATGAGAGGGCAATGCTGAGATGCCCAAAGAAGTACAGATGGGATCTGGGCACCACAGTAGGCAGGAGAGGGGAGATTTTCTGTCCTAGGGTCTTCCTAGACCTTCAGGTCACATCAGAGTTGTTCTGTTTACAGACAAGACTCGCCTTAGTACCCACTCTTTTCCCTGCTTCCCTGTGACTATGTTTCCTTACTCTATTCCACTTAAGGAGTGATAAGTTCAGGTGCACCTTCCTACCAGGTATGCGCCCTCTCACTTCTTTGTAAGGCCTAAAAAATTCCCTGGTGGGGGATGGTCAGAAGAGTAAGAAGACTCTTCTCTAAATTTAAGTGTGGAAGTCAGAAGGTTAGGAAGCAGAAGTGACAATTTATGTATCTGGGACCGAGGTTTTGCTAGCTCTGTCTGCAGTCCCCTCACCCCTTTTCCCTCCAGAGCTCAAATAGTTCTCTGGATGCCCCAGTCTTCTTTCTCCACCTCATCCTTTCTGATCTACTCAGCACTTTCCCAGGCCACAGCAGTCCAGGAGAACAAATGGAGTCATGCACAGCATCAATATGATGGTTTCCTTGGATCATGTCTCCAGTGGTTACAGCAGGACACACAGAAGTTCTTCTGAGCATACCCTGGGAATGTCTCATGTGAGCCCTCTCCTTTACCATGTGCATTGCCAGGGTGCTCCCTCCTACTCCTACTCAAGCCCCCTTTAGTAAGATTTTCTGCCCCCTGCTACTTGTAAAGCCACATAAGTATACTTGCTGGCTCCCACCATGGTAACAACAATGTATGAGGCCAGAATTACATCTTTCTGTTCCTAGAGATGCTGGTATCAGCAATAGCTGACAAGTTACTGGAGACTGTAAAATAACAAAGCAACACAAGGTTTAGTACCAAAGCAGGGAGAATTTTTAAAGTTTCTTTCAGAAGGGTGCTAAATCAGTATTCTTGATTTCCCAGTGTCTTATATCTTACAATACCTAAGGGAAACAGTTCCTCCATTCTGACTGCTAAGATTTTCAAATAAATGAAAAACTATACTACTTGTATTCATCTTTATTTTTACCAATATAGTATTTTTTTTTTTTTTTTGGCCGCATCACACGGAACTTCCCCGACCAGGGATCAGACCTGTGTGCCCTGCAGTGGAAGCACGGAGTCTTAACCACTGAACCACCAGGGAAGTCCCCAGTATAGTGCATTTAAAGATATCAAATGGTACTTCACAGTTGACCCTACCCCAGCACTCTACATTCTGAATTTCTGCTCCCCAGAGACAACTTCTTTTTTATCTTTTAAGATAAATCTCTTCTGGGATTTTCTCCCTATTTCTTAATAGCATGCTTATACTCTAGTTCTTGATTTTTCAGTCTGGGCTATTATCTTACTTCTTGCTATAGGAAATAAGCTATGTACTTACACTCCAATGTCCTCTCATAAACACATGTATTATTTCTCCATCCTCCATCCCTCAATATATCTATATCATCTTACTTAGGTAAATCACTATTCCTTACATTATTATAACTGTGTACGTATTTATTCACGGTTGAATAAATTAGCATAATATGATTTCATTTGCTTTTTTTGACCGAAGTTAGCCATTGCCTCTTTTTCCATGTTTCTTAGCATTCAAGTATCTATAATTAATTTATCCCAAACTCTCAATACTTTCAAACACATCAGGTAGCCTATCAGTTTAGTTATTTTTTTTTTAAATTGAAGACAACCCTCCAGGGCTTCATCATCCTCCTTCATTCTGGACTAGTTATTCTTTGAGCCCACTACACAGGTTTTGCCCTAGAATAATTGAATAATTTTATCATTTCTTCCCCATTTCTACCTCTTTTTGTTTTTCTGAAAGGCTTCTATCTTCCAACTCTTCTTTTGAATTTTCACATTTCTGTTATCCTGTTTTAAATTTACTACTTTCTTGACCGCCCTGCCCCCTTTTAAATAGCAATCTGTTCCATCTGGGAATACAGCATCTTATTTCTCTGATGATATTTCTAATGTTATGAGTTTTTCAGTCTTTGTTTCGTGGCTGTGTTTTGTTTTTTTTTTTTTTCTGTTAGAAGCTTTTTTTATGGCCACACCATGAAGCTTGCAGGATCTTAGTTCCCCGACCAGGGATTGAACCCAGGCCACGGCAGTGAAAACACAGAGTCCTAACCACTGGACAGCCAGGGAATTCTCAGAAGCTTTCCTTAAATGTCTGGAGATCCTTGGCTATCTATTCACATGTAAGAGCTAAGCATTAGAAAACTGACTGGAAGCTCTGTGTACATAGACAGGGCTTGTGATTAGTAGAACACACTGCGGTATTTTTCAAACTTCTGGTTGCAAACCCATTAGTGGTTTGTGAAATCAATTTAATCACTTGCTACAAACTTTTTTTCCCAAAAGACAGAATAGAAAATACTATGTCAGAATATATCACACATAAAAAGGAAATTGTTTTGTGAAACTTTGGTTTCACATACACACACATACACACATATACATCATATGTACATATTATGTACTGGGTCAAGTCCATAAAATGGGGATTTCTTATTGTGGGTGTTTTCTCGAAGAAGTTTGAAAAAAATACCACTTAGGGCACTCAAGATCAACTGCCAAGATGCATAGTTTCTTTCTCTTGGAAGGAGAGGTAAGTTTCTCTAGAGAAAAATTCTCTAGACTCCTACCTGCTGGTCTGGTAGCCAATGTTCAATCAAGCATTTG